GATAACACAAGCCCATAGTGTGGAAACATGAAGAACATTTATAAATGAGGTCTGGCCATGCCCAAGACAAACATTCAGTCCTGAAGGAAAGAGGAAAAGGGAGAGTCATTATATGGAAATGAGGAAAGGGCATAACGTGGGAGTTGTTTCTACTGTCTTAGATGTAACTAGGTAACTAAGAAAGTGCTTTTTAGAAATCACCGTTGCTAACACAATTCTGTGAAATTCTCCAGTGTTAGTGACACTGCAGTCACAGAATCACAGACTGGTGGAGGCTGGCAGGCATCTCTGGAGGCCTTTTGGTCCGTCCTGCTTGTCCAAGCAAGGTGACCAAGAGCCAGATGTCCAGAAACATGAGCAGCCTTCCTATAAACTACATCTTTTATTTGTGGCCTCCAGAGCTCAAACATGATTTTTGTAAGATTCCGTGCCTCACAGTCTTACCTGACCTGGTGCTCAAGCAAAATAAACAGAAGCAGTAAGCAGGCCCTTTTTTCTGAGGTCTCCAGTATTACCAATTAGTTTAAAGTAAAGCAGCAGTGAGAACATTTTCCTGGTGTTGACAGGGTCATTGTTGTGTTTTCAGAAGGGCTATTTTTGTACAGTGACTCATGTTAACGCCTGTTCTGATTTGGTGTTTTTCCACCTTCTCTAAAAACGCAGCAGGGCTAATGTATAATTACAATAACTTCTGGATTTTACCACTGTGGACTTTGGCCATAGAGTTGAAAATAGGTGGTGACCCCAGTCCCAAAGTAGGTTTCCTTTTGCAGGGAGGCTGACATAGGTGTTTCTGCTCCTTCCACTCCACAGCTGTGAATTCTTACCTTCATGTTGTGCTCTCCTCAGTTGTTTCAACGAGAGGCGTTGTGGGGGTGGTCCCAGGTGAAATTGTTCTTATCATTTGGAAGGAAAAAAGCCAAATGTAAAAATGAGCAGCCTGGAGTTTTTGGGGGGTCATTTGCTTGGGTTAATTTTTTTGAGAACACTTTTAAAATTATGCTCTCTTAGGTATCCAGACTAGGTGTTGTAGCTGTTTTATCAGGGTAATGGTAAACTCCAGCTGCAGGTGGGAGAGGAACTCCTTTGCCCTGTGAACAGAATTCTTACGCTCATGCTTGGTATCACTCTACCTTGATATAAAAGCATGCACTCTCAGATCTTGCAACACTGTTGTGGAAGCAAATAATTGCATTTAATGCATCAGAAGACTTGCTTCTAGCATGTACATATATTTTTGTGAGACGGGTGGGAGCTGCACAGCTTAAATCTTTTCTGTTAAAGCACAGCTCTGTCTCATGGGCAGCAAGAGAAAGATCTCTGGAACTGAGCTGAAATAAGCAAGCCAGGACCTGCCTGGAGAGACTGGCCTGATACCCTGCTTCCTCCTCACTGAAAGGGTGGAGATGTGCAGATCTTAGGCACTTCCCAGTCTCTGCTGTTTCTTCCCCTTTACCTGAGAGAGAGATCTCTGCTGAGCTGTGCTTTGTGTGATGCGTAACTCGTGGGTGAGTTACAGCTCATACTACAAGTTCGACCTGTAGTGGCAGCAGATAAAAGATGTAATTTACAAAAGGACCATTCATGTTACTGGGGCATCACAGGCTGCCAGTGTCCTGCTGCCAGGCCCTTGACTATTGTATCTTCTGCCATCCCAGCCATACTGGTCGATAGGTAGAAACCAGACAGACAGAAAGTCTGGTGGGTCACAAAGAAGAGAGGTGGAAATACATTTAAGTTTTCTTGGGAACAGTCACAGAGGTTGGAATTTTGAGGCTACATTCATGATGTTTGGTCTGTTGTGGAGGTCAGAGCTTCTGCAGCCTTTGTCTTCCTTCTGCCTGGGACATTACTGCTGGACAGATGGATTAGAGAGCTTGGTGAGGTCAGTGTCTGTGCAGCAGCCTGTCCAGAGGATGTTTATATCCAACATGTATGTGTTTATAGCTTTTTATTTCAAAAGCCAATTGCTCCTGTTTTTATTTTCAGCAGTAATTAGGAAGCAGATCTAAAGGGGAAGGGCTGACCACACTTAAATGTTGACCTTTTTTGTCAGAATCCAAACTGAAAATTTAACACTTACATAATTCTGTGGTGATTTTTTGCCACCCTAGTGGTAACAGTTAAATATCTTCCTGTGTTTTGGTCCTGTGAACAGTGTGTGACTTTCTGGATGGTGAGAAGTTTATTGAGCCTGAAATTGAAAGTGGCTTGTTGAGAAATCAGCAAAATAGTAACAGAGAATCTTTGCCAACTCCTTCTTAGCAAGCCTTAAAGCATTTCTCTTGGCATTTTTTAGAATTCTGAAAATACAATTGAACACTTCTAGTAGAAAGAAGCTGAGTTGCACACTTTTAACAGGGACCTAACCCTGTGTAGGATTTTCATTTTCTCTGACATCTGGGGGTCATTAAGCCTTAACAGATCACAGAAGACTGAAAAGATATTGAAGAGTTGAATGCTCACATGAGAAATTATGTGTATCTGTATCAGGTTAGGCGCTGCTTGAATTTTTAACCAAGAAAACTTGTCATCAGTGTTTTTTGAAAAGGGACTGCAGTTTAGGCAGATTCCTTTTCTTAAGGTGTGAGATCATTCATCCTTCATTCTTGATTAATCTTTTCTCTGAATGTAAATACATTGTCATTGTATTTACAGAAGCCAGCTGTAAGAAAAATTGAGTATGGAAAAAAATTAAAAGCTAATACCACAAAAATGAGTAATGTTAGAACCTGTGAGCACGTGTCTTTATTTTAGAATGGTAATATCAGCAGGTTTTGTAAACCTGGAGAAGTGCTACTGATCAGCAAGTGCCTTTCTATAACATCAGCAAATGAGAAAGACAGGGACAGAAGAGCTAAATTTCTAGTAATAGTCTCCTGTTTAAATCTCTTGGCTCCGTACTTTGTGGAATGAAGCTTGTGGGCGTACAATGCCTTGGAGTTTCACTTATCTGCTGTTCAATTGGCATTGAATCAATACACAGTCAGTATGAGTTTGGAAGTTATATTTACAAAAGTAAATTCTATACCACTTTTCTAGCACTCAACTCATTCAGCAGAGGTCGAGGAGAAAATGCCTTTGCCACCACTGACATGGAGCAATTAGGCTGATAGCCATGAATATGAAAGCTCCTATTTATTGTCCTGTGGGTGCCAAAATAGTTGTTGTCAGAGTCTGGATTATCCTGTTGGTGGTTAAATACATCTGCACGTTCTCGTGAAGTACATGGAACAAAGGGGAAATAATGAAAGAAGTGTTTGGAATATTTTATTACATGCCCCTATCTTTTTCTCCTCAAGTGCTAGTTGAACTTCAGATTGTGGTTATAGCACATATGGGCACCCATCTGAATACTTAGACTGCTTAGATTTACTTTTGTTTTGACTGCATTTTTTTGAGTTTTCTTTTCCAATCTAAACCTAAAAAAAAGAGTAAACAGGGACCATAGTGTGGTTCTGAGCTCATCACTCTGATGACACATTTCAAGCTGAAGAAACATTTCAAAGCTGAGTCCCAAAAGATGCCAAGCATATCACTCTCATATCAGAAATGAAAATTAACATTAGTGTAAGCTGCTGCTTCTACTTCTTTGCTGATGCTCCTATAATTTAAGCTGAATATTTACATGGTGCATTTCAGTAAGTGGAGCATATTTGCCAGGAGCAATTGATTCTTCTGGTAAATGACAGCAGTGCAATTGATTGCACTGAACAGTCCAGATCAAACTGAATCATGGTGTGTGCCTCTCTCTGTTATTCATACATGCCTGTATATATCCAATCCAAACATCTGTAATAATAAGAGGAGAAGATAAAATAGTTTCTTCTCTTGCAGATTGTATAGACCAATTTAATTTTGTAGAATGCAGGGTATGTACTGTCTCAGTCTCACTGAAGATAATGTTATATGGAAATTGCTCCTTTGGATAAAAGAGAATTATGCTGTGCATGCACTTTCATAATTAGCTGAGACGTGGTTTATTTAACCAAAAAAAAATTAAGCACTGATACAATGCATAAGTTTTTCCTCATTCAATGCCCCAATTACCATTTTAACAGCATTTGAATTAGTGGCTTATATATTATGAAATCCAGCATGAAGGTGGAAAAAATTGCTTTTTTTCCTGGCCATGAAGTTTTGTATTTTTTAAAGAATGTGATAAAATTGTCAGCTGCAGCCAATTTCCCATTCTTCGATGCAGCACAACTGCATTTTTCTGCTGTTTCCCTGTGTTGGTACAAGCAGTCATGTGATTTGTGAAGCCTCACCAGGCTGACTATTCTAATGTGCAAGGTTAGAGTCACATCACATCAGCACAATGATGCTGCTCTCACTCTATGGCTGCACTTGGTTGATGCAAAGTGGGGAACAGTAATGCATCACCATGTAGCATGAGAGGAATGTCAATGCCCTTTGCAGTCTGGTTTTAGAGAAGTGGATGTCAATTTTCCCCCCTCTTGCAAAGTGTCATTTCTCCCTTCTTTGAGCATCCAGGATGTGATGTGTGGTACAGCAGTGGGTGCTGTTTGAGCTGTGGGGTGCTCCTTGCAAGAGCAATAAGTACTTTTTCTAGTGCCTGTGCTGTTCATGTCCTGTATCAGCAGAATGCCTTTGAGGAGGCACAGGGTGACTGAATGATCCTGTACTCTTCCCTCCAGGGTTTTGCCCCAGATTCCAGTTCCTTGCCCTGCCCCATGCCATCAGCAGCAGCTTTATCTCTTGGAGGGTGTCTTCATGCTCAGTCACTGACCAGATCAGCTGCCATCAAAAAATATCCTAAGTCAAACTAATGTTTCTTTGCTTTTCAAATGACAAAATGCATGTTTAATACTGTGCTACTTCTGGTTCTGAATAAAAGGAAATTAGGTGTTTGGAATTGTTAAACAACTGCCATACAGGACTGCTAAAGTAACAGCAGCTTTTAAACAGCATGAAATTAGAAGAAATACGATTCAATAAATCTTTGCTTTTTTTTCTTTTTTTTTTCCCTTCTACAGGAATATTTTTACCCGAAATATTTGGGTGAGTTGCAACTTTTATTGCCACTTTGTGGGAGTCTGGTATGTGCCTAACACTGGAGCTTGTCACAGCTGAAGTTTCTGCTAAGGAAGGGGATGGGAATCTGATTGCAGTAAACATGCATTGCTAACTTTTAAGATAGACTTTATGTTCCTTATTGTGCTTTGATGTTTGTGTTTTTACTTGTGTGTACATTTGCAGACAGAGATGCTTCATGTGTTTTCTGCATGTTAAAATCCTGATGTTGCATATATATCTGTGGCTTGCAATGTTATGAAATGATTTGTAGTTTTCTACCTTTTTCCCTTTTTAATGAAGTTAGTTATTAACTAATCTCCTTTTAAAAAGAAACAGGTGCCTGATTGAACTACTGGCTGATTCTATTGACTGTATCATAGTCATAGCATCATACTGTTTTCTATTCTTGTTAAATATGATGTATTTAAGATCACAAATGCCACAGTGGGAGAAAAACCATGTGCTTTTTAGATATTTTAAGACCTTTAGATGGTCAAATTGGAGTAGCTACTACCATAGTTTTAGAATCATAGTAGCATCTGGTTAAGTGATCATCTTCTTCAAATGGCTTTTAACTGTTGTACATCAAAGCTAAAAGATTTTAATGAACTCCAGAATTTCAAGGCATCTGGGAGATTATAATATTGCATAGATTTTACGTCCCCCTTCCAAATCTTTGCAGGCCAGGTGTGTCATTTTATGTGCTTTGAACAGTTGTCCTTCACCACTGTAACAATAACAATTTCATTTTCTGTTTTTCAGCTTGTATTCAGAAATATGGGTCACCATATACGAGAAATCCAGATTTCCTTACGTGTGTTCATAGTAAGCATTTTTGGTTTTTATATTGTACTTAAATGTTCTCTCATTCTACCTGATGGTGTGGGACTAGTTGAGCCATCTCTGTTTTTGGTAGTATTTCAATGTTGGTCTTCCTATTCTCCAGGCTTAAGACCCCAGACCACTAAGCAAAATCTTTCCCATTTTTAACCTAATGCTATCTTGCTGTCATGTTTCAGTGCTTTGATATTTTATGATGCAAGTTTCTTTCCCACCAGTTTCCCAAAGTTTGAATAATATAAGAAGCAAGAGAGACAAGAACTAGGAGGTACCATAAGGCTGTACAAAATGTTTGGCCCCTTGTTTTCTATTCCTTGAATGCTAGCTTTGGCTCACCCCGTTAAGGAACCTCAAAAAAGTTTACAGTCAAACCAGGTTTGTGCCAGCCTTCTTTACATTAAAAGATCAGTTTCATGTACCATATGACTATGCTTTGAATATTGCTACCTTTAAAGCCTCAAAGCAGTTTAGAAGCCAAACTGATAACATTGTAGAGGGTGAAGGGTTTTTTTTTTTGTCCTTCACTAACACTAGAGAAGAAATGTAATGGATTCTTCTAATGCCTTTCTAGTTGCCTTTAGTCAACTTTTTACATTTATAAACTGCATTAAAACAACCTTTTTAAAGACTGAATTCCAAGGTTAATAAGTGGTATGTGAAGAGTTTCCTTCACATGTTGCAGCAGTGTCACTCATGGATGTTGAGTCCTTCGAACTGGGAATTCTCAGACCTGTGGTACCTGTGATGGCTGCAGAATGCCAGCTAGTCCAAAGTGGGATGTGAGGCTGAATGCTTACATTTACTTGTGCATGTGGCACAGCAAAGAGGCAGGAGTTTCTGCTGAAAATGGTGATATAGACTGGGAACACTTGTTGCAAACAACTAATCAGGGTCTCAGAAATGAGAGTCCAAAGGGTAGTGATAAAAAAGTCTGAATAAATAAAAGCTGAATAATTGTTTTTAGAGATTTCTGCCCATTGCAGATTCAGTGGTTTGGAAAGAAAATGATAATATTTTCCCCCATTAAAATATTATCAGGTTTTTAAATGGCTGAGTTTTGGCTAGCCATCATCAATTCACAGGAGAAGTAACAGAGAAGGAGCCTGAAACACGCTTGGAAGAAGGACAGGCTTCGTGCTTGGCCAGTTCTAGTGTGTCTCTTAATTTTTCACAGATGCTGCCAAAAGACTATGTAGTTCTATGGGTTTGTGCCTGCAAGACACTTTTAACTTTGTTTCTTAACAGCCTTTCTCCTCTCAAAACAAGGTAGTGGAATGTTCTTTTAACCCAGTGTACAAAGATGCTGAACAACCTGAGGGCTGGAGGGTGATTGACTGCACAAGTTTATACTGGAAATAAGGTAGAAATTTAAAGTATGACAGTGATTAGACAGGTTAGACAGAATATGTGAGGATTTCTAATTTCATAAACTCTTGAGATCGGGTTACAACTAGGATTCTGCTCCAGATTCAGAGGATTCCATACAGTGTGTAAAAAGGAATTTCCAGCATGAGCAGTATTCCCATCAGAGTTAGCAGAGAGTTAATCTCTGGTTCTAGAGGGATTCCCCCAACCAAACTGTGTCTGCTCTGAGGAGACCTGAGTCCCTCCACAGACTCTGTTTATTGTACTATCGCCAGTGACTGCAATTATTTATAATTGCTTTGCAGATAGATGCATACTTTACACATGGATACTTATACTTTCTCTGCATATCTGGATCTTTTTCTAAAAGATCCTGCAGGTCATCTAGGAATTAAGGATTTGGTTCTGCAAGGCTTTGAAAATTTCTACAGGAATTTTGGGAAATGAAGCTATACATGGCCTTAAAAAAGTCAATGATATTTTTGTTAGGTCACATGTGCTTGCTTTTTACTATTAAATTACTGAGCATATTATTTTCAGCCTAGCTTTTTATGAAGTTTCAATATGAACTATTTTGTGGGTATCAAAAAATAAATTCACAGAACAACGCGATGAACTGAAAGTGACAGTCAGTGGCATAATAAAGTGTTTCCATACAGATTTCAAAGACAGAATCGGTAGTTCTGCTCTCTGTCTGCACTTATGAGCTTCATAGGTGCTATCAGACACAGCTCAAAGCACATAAAAAGGTCATGCTCAACACTACTTTTAACAGCTTTACTAAAATCCATCATGTAAATGAATGGAAACAAAAGCTCAGGTTTTTCCTTTTGCAATGGTTTCAATCAGGAGTTCCTTCTATGAAGCCAGCAGAATTACACAACTGTGAAGCCACCAGAAGAGTATAAGAGTGTGTCTTATGTTCTCAAACTCTCATGATGAGAGGGAGCAAAGAATCAGCACAGTGCTGATGTGATGGAAATCTCTGTGGTGGATTTTACCATGGGTTGTTACCCTGCTGGGCACTGTTACTACCGTGTGGCTCTGCAAGCTATGTCAGAATCCAGTTTGAGGGCAAGAATCAGAAACTTGTGGACACACCAGAAAAGTTGTGTATAACCCCGTTGACTTGATTTTCTTATCAAATGACTAAAAACACTGACATATTTAGGAGGTTTGGTGTGAGCTGCTAAAAAAAAAAATTCTTGGCTTACTATACCTAAACCGTTCTGTTTAATGCAAACATTCTGATATGCCTAGGAAAAGAAACACCCTGGACAGATTTGCTCTGTTGTGGCTCACTGACACCTTAACCTGGCCTCTCCTTCCCCAGCTCCTCCCCCTCCAGCAGTGTGCCAGCTGGGCAGTGATTTGCTGGGAGGCGCTCTGGCAGGTGGATGTTAAGGCAGCCCTTGTAGCTGTGTTTTGTTTCAAGTGGCCTGGCCTCTTTGGCTGTGCCTTTGCCCCAGCTCTGCACATCTGGAAGGTTTTGTCTGAACATCAGGAAATGCTTTTGCATTGTGAGAGTGAACCAGAACCGGCACAGGTTGCCCAGGGAGCTTGTGGAGTCACCATCCCTGGGATAATCAAAAGCCTTCTGGCCATGGTCCTGAGCTGTAGGTGGCCCTGCCTGAGCAGGGAGGTCACACAAGTGACCTCAGAGATGCCTGCCAACCTCAACCACCTGGGATTTAAATCCAAGACAGTCAGTGCAAACAAAAGTGCTATTCAGTGCTTTATGAGACATCAAATGGACTGCTACTGCCTGCGCTCGCAGAAGTGTTAAAGTTCTTTCAAAGCAGCTCGTCATGACAGCGACTTTCAGGATCACACAGTGGAAGCTGAGAAGAGACCTGTAGTAGTACAGTAATCCTGACAAAAGTAGGAGTCTTAACTTTTCTCAGTTCTCAGGGGCTGCTAATCTACAAACAGTTCCTCTCCTAAAAACCTCCCTGTCATGCTACAAAGTCATGTTTAGAATATCAAGAGTCCATACTGGACTCAGCAGAACCAGTGCATGGAAACCAGTGCAGGTCTTTTCTGCTGCTGCTCACTTAGTGTATACACACTGGGCACTTTCAAATGCTTTGCAGTCTGCAGAATGAGCTCCTGCATTGTTCCTTCTGGTTAAAATTGTGGAAACAGCTAACACATTCATGTTTTTGAAGACCACTGATCTAGACCACTGGTTTTAACAGGTTACTACTACATGATAGCTACCAACACATTTTTTGTGGAAACAGGGGTGTTCTCTCATCCTTCCTTTAGCTACCTCTGTGAAACACTGTCCCTGGGTGTTGTACAGGTAAGTGGGTAGGTGAATTTGGACAGGTGACTACAGTTGGTGCGTGGCTACATGATACTTTGAGATTTATTCCTTCAATCATTCCTCAAGTGTGGTGACTACTCCCCTGCTTCTTTCCAATGAGGAAACTCATTGCCAAATCCTGGAACTTGGCTTAAAAATCCCCATATGAACATTGTGCTCTTTGTAAACTGGATTAATGGTCTGCTATTCCTTGGCTGTTGATATATGAGTATTCCTTTTTTATTCTCATTCTATGTAATAGGAAAGATCTATGAAAAATTTATTTTAAAAACTTTTGCTAGCTAGAAACCTATCAGCTCTGTTAAGATACTCAGTTTAACTACTAAAGGCGATTGAAAGGAATACCCATCCTTTCTTGAGTACTTTAGTTGATACTGCTTTTTTTATTTTTCTCAAAAATTAGTGAGAGAAGAAAAATAAGCTACTTTGAGTTGTTTCTTTCAGGATGTGTCCTTCAGATATGGGGGTGGTAGCTTACTCCTTTTTGCAATTAAGTGAATTCCACTGCATGTGCTCTGTAAAATTCCTGGCACAGCTTGTTTGGCATGTGAGCACTAAGAATCAGCTTATAGTTTTGCCAGGTGCAAGTATTTTTGAGTGATTCCCCAATACTGTTTAAGCTTCCCATCTTCTAATGAGAGCGAAACACCTGGTTGTCAGTGATTTCAATGTATTGTTCTGTCTTGTTTTGGTTTTTTTATTTCTTGTGTAAATCAGATTTGCCAAACCAGTGTTCTCCCAATCCTTGTCACAAAGAAGGGACCGTCAAATGCGAGGATCTCAAGGGAGATTTCTATTGTGAATGCAAGCGTGGCTGGCAGGGGAAAAAATGTGAAAAAGGTAATTTGGTTTCATTGTCTTTTATTCTTGTAGCAAAGATATTTTGGGTTTTCCTATATTCTCAAATGGTCACCAATACTGTGCTGCACAATTCAAAAGTCACAGAACTGAACCTAGGTTACACATTGTTCATGTTTTTACCCTTTGGGAAACAGGTAGTTTTTCACATCAACTTTTTTATGACTCTACTGGAGCTCAGCTTGGTCTTGGCAAGGTAATCCAAGAAGTTATGCTCCAACGTTCTGCTCCACCCCTCTGAAAGAAGCAGCAGAAAGAGTAGTAGTGGCTTTTCAAGCTGAGCTACGTCAGCTGCTGCTGTGAACCTTGGTGTAACAGATTACAGAGCCAGAGAGGCTGGCCCATCTTCCCATCTAGCATCCCTGCAGTGGGAACAATGACTTCCAGTTGGCAAGTTGAGTCTGATGACATACAATTTGATAAAATTAGTCTATTGAAGCCTTCTTGCTAGTCTGACCTTATTCCATGTCCACTTAATTCCATATATTCCATTGGTATATTTCCATCACCTCAAAAAAGAATTTCAGACAGAAACGATTGGTGCAAGAAGTTCCAGCTGCCCACAGAGTTTTCTCTACAAGTTATCTTCCCTCCTCTTGTTTTCTGGTTTCTTTAGTTCTTTTTCTTCTGCCTGCAAGGCTTCCTGTCAGGGCCAGTGCTTTTTTGCTTGCCAATATTAAGTAATGACTAGAAATGGTATTCAGCCAGTCCAGAATTGTGGCAACCAAGACAGCAGGAGATCCAATCCTTTCCTTCTCATGTAAAAATTGTGAGGTGTTTATAGGATCACTCAAACATCTTATTTAATCAATTCAGAAAGCAGACCAGTCAGTATCCAGTTGGCTTTGAGTGCTCAGACGCTGATCAGTCTGAAGCATATTTCCTTATTTCCTTATAAAATGCCATGACATGCTGTTGTACCCATCAGCTAACTCTGGAGTCCCATAGACAAGCAGTACATAATGATCAGGTAGGGTAGACTGAAGGTGAAACTCAGGCTCTGCTGGATTTTACAGGCTTTTGCTGCCAATTTCAGTGGGGCACAGTTAAGCTCATAAATGTTCGGCAGGTGTGAACTTGGAACTTCCTCTGTTCTCATGAGCTCTGTAATTGTAACAATATCGTGTTCGTGTTTTACTTAAAGCCTTTGTCCTGAACTTATGGCCATAGCATAATTTTAGTACCTAGTTATGATAAAAAATACATAACTAGTTTGCTTCTGCAAACAAGCTTCTTTGCCTCCACAGTGTCTAAAGATACATTTGTGTATTCTGAGAGCTGTGAAGGAGATACTATTCAGTTACAGATCCTTCTCTCTCCCTTTTTTTTTTTTTTTTTTTGTAAGGTAAACACACTTGAGCTTATATGATGAAGTGTTTGAACAAAATCATTGTGCTTTTTGTTATCACTGTGTTGCATCTGTAATACTGTTTCTTGTTTGATCTTTCTCCTTCCCAACATCTATTGCACTGTGACCCTGTAGATTATTTACAGATGTGAAAAGCTGACTGTGACACTTTCTTTTGATGTAGATATTGATGAATGCACAACGCAGAACGGCGGCTGTAACCAGCTCTGCCTCAACAAGCTAGGCAGCTACCGGTGCTCATGCTACAGTGGTTATGCTCTTAAAGACAGCAAAACATGTGAAGGTAAGCTTTGCTGGGACTCTCCGTTTGCTTCAGGGGGGATGCTTTGTGACTTGTGTCTGTGTTTTGGAGAGCTGGGCTGCCCTGAGCAGTCCTGGTCTGCTCCCTAGCCCAGCAGAAACTTGCTGGTAGATCCTCTTAGCTTTACTCCACTGGGGTTGTGCTGGGTGCTCCAGCCAGCATACATGCCTGGGCTTGTCAGCAGTTGGACCATGATGCTCTCAAGAGCATAACACAGGCGTGATTCATGGAGGATTTGTGGCTTGGATTGTGCTAAATTGGTTTAGTTGATCAGTCCTCATATCCTGACATTGAGAAGAGGACGCACTGGCCAAATGTGTTGTTATGATTCTTTCCAGTCCCACAGTGTTGTAGAATGTGAGCCATTTGTTTTTCTTTTGTGTATTTCTTATTTTTTTGATTTGGATGTGTGCAGCAGCTAATGAATTCAGATAGATACAGATGGCTAAATTCACTGCAACTTAATATTAATAGGTGTAGAAAGGCCCTAGTGAAGTTTGGCAGCTATTTTACATACCAGATGAGAACAGAAAAGGAGGACCTGAAGTTTCTGATTGAAACTGCCAAATGAATTTACATAACCAAAACTTAAGCAACTGAGATTTTAAAAGTGTTAAGAGACCGCATGCTGAGACAAACTCAATAACTCAACAGCAGGTGGCTGTTAAAGTTACGTTCATCTTATGAAAAAACAGGTATATATCTCTTAGAGATGGATGTGATGACATATTTCTAAACAAATTGCTGTTGCAATACATGATCTGAACAACTTATTAATGCTACCAGCAAAAAGAAAAAGAGCAAGATTTTGTTTCTAAGTCACTTCCACTCTAAAAAGTGATGACTGTATAAATTACATGGTATCCATTCCTAATGGAAGCAGCAACTTAGAAGAGCCAACTTCACTTTTGCATTGTCCTCTGGTGCCAGTCAGCATGGACAGGTGGCTGGCGAGGGGCTCACATATGTGTTTGTTTTTCTGTGTGTGTATATTTGTTCCATACCCTAGTACTGTCTCCTAGAACACTGTGAGCACTGCTATATAAGCATTCTGTAACTTTCATGTGACCTTCCAGCTGCTGAGATTACTGTCAGGTGTGGTTATTGATATCTCAGATTTATCATTGCATTTTGACTTTTTCAATGTTTGTTCCTGTCATCGTGGGCATACACACAAAAGTTCCCTCTTGTCTTGATTTGTAGGCTAAGCTACGTGGGGTACTCAGCCAGTTCATTCATATGTGGGAAAATCTACAAGAGTAATGAGTAATTGTAGTTTTAACACATACTAGAAAGCAAAAGTAAATATTAAACTCTCAGTATACTGCAAATGTTTTGTCAACACTGGGATTCTGCAGGGTATTAGTTAACATGTGAGGAAAAAAATCAGGTTTTTTTTATGGACTTCCAGTTCCAGTTCATTGCCTGCCCTTATGGCGAAACCCCACGTCTCTCTGGCATGGCTTGTTCTCTGTGAGAAATTGGGCTGCTTCAATTCTCCCTTGCCACTACAGACCAGCAGATTTAGATCTTAGCTTTGTAGATATATTAATATGTATTGTTTGCCTGTCTGAGGACACAGAGCAGAAATCTCTGAAGTGCCACAGGCTGAGTGTTCCTTCAGTGTTTTGGTAAAATTCATGCTGCCACTCCTAAATTTCTGCCTATTGCTTTTTTTAACCTGCAGTTTCGGTCCCCTAGTTGGAGAGAGTGGGGCTTTTTGATTTTTGTGCTAGTTATTTTGTTTTACAGTTTTTCTCCTGGCTCACTTTGCATTGCTTTTTCCAGTAGTGGTTCATGACTTAAGGTAAAAAAGACCAACTGATTTTTGAAGCCTGAAGTCACTTCTTATAGCTAGCTAACCCTAAAAGTAGATACTTAAAGATACTTTTTTCAGTTTCCAAAATTACACAGGGATCTCCTTGCCCTAAGATCACCCTATGTGAACAGTGATTATACTCCTCTGAAGTTGTGCTATTTAATTGCTTGCTTTGCAGACATAGATGAATGCACAGCATCAGCAGACATCTGTGGAGAAGCTCACTGTAAAAATTTAATAAGCTCATATGAATGTCTTTGTGATGCGGGCTACAAGTACGATGACGTGAGAAAAACTTGTCAAGGTAAGCTCAAGAAATGTGCTAGCATTTATTATATAATTTAAATTAGTAGAACCCCAGAAATTTAATTTCAGGCTTCAGTAAAAGTTTTTTTAATTTATTTTTTAATTGTGCTTACATACTGGAGTTCTGTTCCCTTTCCCTAGTTAGGAGTGAGTTTGCAGTTTGCAGTCACCTTTGAGTTCATCGAGCTTGCTGTTGTCTTTGAGTTCAGTGAGTTTGCAGTCATCTTTGATGACTTGAATCAAGCTGTATGAGCCAAAGTACTGAGATTTCTTGGCATTTCAACAAGTGCAAGATCTGGTGAAAGCTCAGAAACATCTGTGCATGTTGCTGTCTCTCTTCATAGGAGAAGAAAATTTACAAAGCAGTAGCTCTTTTTTCAAAACCTGTCTTGTGGTATTACTCTGAACTAGGAACTTAATATGTACTCGAACCATGCACAGTTCTGCTGGCTACACTGCTGAAAGCTTTCTCAACAGAGTACGTTTTGGAAGTATTCCAAAGGCAGCGTTGTTCCATGCCTTTTGTCTAAGTTAACGTAATGACTCACATCACACTCCAACCAGTCCTGTTGGGCGTTAAGTGTTAAACTCTGCCTGAAGAGATCCCTGTGGGCTGTCACAGTTTGCTTTCTGGCATTTGCTTGTGAAGAAGATAAAAAATAGCTGAAGAAAAAAGAAAACAGTGAATGAGAAACTCAGGTTTTATATGCAGTCCCTGACTGCAAGGAGCAGAAGCCAGTCACTACAGGCATAGCAGAAGGGGCCTAAAGGGAGGAAGTCTTGTCTAGAAGTTAAAGCCCAGGGCTCTGCTCCAGCAGACAAGTAGTTGTGTTCTGCTTCCAGCCTTCCCACTGACTTGCTGTGTATCTTTGAGCAGCTGGAATCTGTCTGTGAAAATAGATTTCACAGAATAAGCTGAGGTGGAAGGAACCCACAAGGATCCAAGGATAGAGTCTAACTCCCAACCCTGCACAGCACCCTCACCAACAGTCACACCACGTGCCCAAGACCATTGTCTAAATGCTTCTTGAGCTCTGTCAGGCTTGGTGCTGCGACCACTTCTCTGGGGAGCCTGTTCCACTGTCCACCCCTGCTCTGGGTGAAAAACCTTTTTCTAATATCCAACTTAATCCTCCCCTGACACAACTTCAGGCCATTCCCTCATTTCTGTCATGTTTAAACAAACTCTGTTTTTATCTCTCTTCTTCGCTGGTCTTGTGTAGATATAGATGAATGCAAAGAAAAGCTTTGTGAACAGACCTGTGTCAACTCACCAGGGAGTTACACCTGTCATTGTGATGGCAGAGGGGGAGTGAAACTTTCCCAGGACATGAATACATGTGAGGTATGTCAGTGTTCATTGTTGTAACTGCAAACAGACCTTTACTTTACAGCACTCTCTGATTTTCTTTCTGCTGGTGTGAGGAGAATAAGCACTCAGAAATGTGTTTTGATTATAGAACATCATACCATGTGTGCCTTTTGCTGTTGGGAGGAGTATTAAATCCTTGCACCTGGGGAGGATGTTCAGCGGCACTCCTGTTATCAGGCTGCGCTTCAAAAGGAAACAACTGACGAGGTGAGGACAATTTAAAATGACAATTAAATGCTCTGACTGGCTTTGATGCATGCAACAAAGTTGTTACAATAATAATTGACCCTACATTCATCATTATTTATTTGGATTATGAAGTCCTGTTAGGCTAAACATTACCTAAACCAGTAATTGAGAAAGGCAGCCTTGACCACAGAGCTGTTAGGATAATTACTGAAATATACTATTGTATTCTTTATTCTTGATGATGTTTTAAAAGCTGTACTCACCTCTTAAAGCTTTCAGGAGTGCATTAAAAGCTAGTGTATTTTAACAGAGCTTTAGAGCTGCTAGACTTGATGCTATCTGTATGGAAAGTACTCTGTGGTTTTTGAACTCTGCATAACTAATTTATTTCTTGGCACCTGTGCGGTCAGACTTGTGGCTGAGTTCGACTTTAGAACCTTTGATCCTGAAGGTATCCTTTTCTTTGCTGGAGGCCATCAAGACAGCACATGGATAGTGTTGGCTTTGCGCAAAGGACGGCTCGAGCTGCAGCTGAAATACAACGGGATCGGCCGCGTGACCAGCACCGGGCCGCTCATCAACCACGGCATGTGGCAAACGGTGAGTCCAGACCCTGCTGAGCCCTCACTCCTTCTTGGCCTCTTTGGGATGTATTCATCCAGTACAGATAGACTTTATGTATTCGTGGGGAAAATGCTTTTCCATCCTATCTATCCCTTAAATGCATGCCAGTATGTTATACATTCCAAGGTGAAAATATTTTTCCTAAGAAATTGAATTATACTTTATTTAATTACATTGTAATATACACTGCATCTCATCTTGCACAAACGGTGCCTTTGAGATGCAGTAGGGCTAAGATGACTTCACATCAGTTCAAGAAGATGCCCTCTGGCTGAGGGCTGGAAGTAAGAGGGAAGGAACTCTTTATCTGTTCTTTTAAGAAACTTTCTAAATGTGTTTGGTAGGGAGGGGGGTGTGCTTGCTTTTGTTTATTTGTTCATTTGTTTAGTCACAGGCCTCAGATTTTCTTATGCTCTTATGCTTACAGTATACTTTTTATAAAGTCTTCAGGTCTGTTTATATACCAAATAGACTGTTTCCGTTGTAAAGATATTGGGGTCTACTATAGCATCAGAGAATTTCAAAAAACTTTGGAAGAGACCTCTAAAACCATGAAGTCCAACTGTCAGCCCAGCACTACTGGTGTAAATCACCTTTTTATTGATACCATAATCCCACAGTCTCATGAAATTGTAAGGATTGTAAGGGTCCATGTTCTTCTTGGCACTCTCACAGAACATCAGCTGGTGATTTTGGGAGCGTTACGGTTGTGAAAGATATGAAAGACGTCCTGCAGTATGAGCTATACTAGATGAGCAGTTTATACATGCTTTCTCACTTCTGCCTTTTCCTCCCCTTTCATTTTTTCTTATTTAATTAGTTCTTTTAACTTTTAAATTGATGTGCCTCTTGGGGAATGAGTGGGAAGTTCTCAGCTAACTCACATATGAGACAAATGGGGATACTGGTAGCTGTGAATAATTTTCTGGTTTACATTTTTTAGTATATAAAAGCTCAAAATTATACATTAAAGAAATAAGCAAAGTGGGAAAAATTGTTTTTAATTAATCAATGAAGAAGTCCTTGAATACATTCACTATCAAACACTGACATTTGACAATGTTTTCAGCAGATGAGGCGATGTTGGTTCAGTTCTTTTAATGACAGTGAAACAATTTTAGATTCCAAATTGAGAACTGTAGAAGTTCATTAAAACTGTAGATAAAATGTGTGACATGCTGTATCTTTACATATAGGAATAGCTTCAAGCTGGTTCTTACTGAATTTTATAGTAAGAGTTCTTCTGCTAATTTGAAATAGGACAATTGTAATTGTCTGCAAAGAGAGGATGATGACAGAAGATGTGAAAAGCAGAGTGGATGCCACTGGGGTGACTTGGGAGTCACAAAAATCAGCAGTTGTCAAGCTAATTCATTTAATAGAAGAGCTAACATACTTGCTAAGTACCTGACCTCATTATGAAATAATTACAAACTACCCCCATATTAATTTGAGGAGGACACAGCTGAAATGTGTTTTCTTTTTTCAGGGAGAGAAGGCAGTGTGATGAAAGTGTCATGTTTAGGCAAAAAATTAAATGTCTCCTGCCAGCTATCAGTGTCAGGGCTCTTATCCCCAGGTACCATCCTAACCAAGAAATTGCCTGGCTGCAGCAATGCACCCTGTGCATTTTCTGAGGGATTGTGTAAATCCCCTAGAAATCCTTCCCCAAGGGTTTTTGGGACAGTAAAGACCAAACTGTGGATGCTGTGTGGGGCAGGTGGGCAGGACCCACACTGATGGGTGGAGGCAGAGGTGTGCTGCAGCCAGGACATCACCCTGAGTGTGTGCCGAGCAGGGCTGGGCAGCTCCCAGAGGCATAAGTAATATGGCACAAGTGGAGGAGAGAGCATCATGCAGTGCTGCCACAGGAATGGACCTGGAGCAGGTCAATGGCCACAGCTGTGGTGACTGTCTCCCAAAGTGAAACAGTGCAGTGCTGATACTGCCCCAAAGCAGAAGGATTTACCCACGGATGAACAGCAGCAGGAGGAAGGAGTCTTTAGTCTCTTGTCTTCCTATTTTACACCTCTGAGACCTGGGGCCTTGCCTGGGGGTTTACTGGGGGGCTGTTGATTTCTCCTTTCCCTGCTGTATTTTCTTATCTCTTCCTTTCACCCTAGAGATGTTTGGCTCTCTTCTGCTTGACATCTAGTGTCACACACCTCTAAATGCTATTTAATCTATATGGCTGAGTGATACAACTGTAAATGTGTTCCCACATTTCTCCATTTTTCTCTCTCTGGCATGCTTTTCGATTTAGGAAATCCTGTTTAAGGACTTCTTTTTACTGTCTCCTATTATAAAACATGTATCCACATATTTCATTTTGCGCATGGGCTTGTGTGTACTTTGCAGCCTCACTTTCTATGAAATACACCCCCAACAATCTTCAGACATCACAGTCCAGGCTTAAATGCAGTTGTGAGCTTTAGTCTGCACTTCAGTATGCACAGAATCAAGCCCTTAGTTTTGGCTAGATCTTAACCAGAGGACTTTGGATACTGGAGAGAACTTCATATGGGTTGTGAGAAAATAGCAATTTTACTATTTAACTTTCAGCAGATGGAAAAACAATGAGTATTTAAAAGCAAAAGATATGAAAAAGCACCAGCAGTGTTCTCATCTCTTGAGCAAAAGTTTCATACTTTCACTGAAATACAATGGCATTTTCAAAACTTCTCTGGTGTTAATCCTTCCTAAAATATTTTGAAATGAGCATTGAATTTCAGTTCTGAACCAGCTTTGAAAACACAAACAAGCAAACCTCAGGGAAGACTTCTAATGTGGTTATTTATGTGTAATCCAGCTGGATGAAGTGGCACATACGAAATTACGATAGTAGAGAATGCACTCGCCTTCTGTTTGTTTTGCATTTCCTAAAACAGTCATCATTTTGTCTTGTTTTCAGTGTTCAGTTAGTCGTGCTCTGAGGACACAGTCTGGTTAACAAAAATAATAACTTACCTGCCCTGTTAAATGTCAGGGCTGGAAGTTAAGCAATCACAAGATTGGTGTTTGGTTTTAACCCTGCAGCTGACTGTAGGTCTGTTCCTTTTCAGCAAGCAGTGGACAGGCTGGCTATGTGCTATGAGCTATCCAGGGCATGAATCCAAAACACAAAGCTGACTGCCCTTGCTATGGCTAATCATATGGGAACCCTTAGCTATGAGAACTGTCCTCCTGAATGTCCCTAAGCCATGGTGGCAGGCAGCAAGTAGCTTCTCCTTGCCACAAGAGTAGGGAATTGGAGCAGGATGCAAACTACTGAAATTATTCCTCTTTTGGTTTATATGAGATGGTGGTGCACTAGCAATTATGCTTTGATTATAAGAAGCGGGAGCTTAAACAGCCAGAGGGCATTGTAAAGTAGGCAGAATGTAATTTCCTAAACTGGAATCTGTTGAGAATTCCCACAAGGATTAACCCCTTCTCTTATGGAAGTTTTCACTGATTTCGGTTTGCTTGTATTAAAGATCAGATGCAGCTAAGAACTCAGAAATTTTTTTTGTTTATATGTTATTACTTGCTAGACAATGTAATAAAATTTTAGAAGGCCCTGAATTCTGGTAGCCCTGTAAGTAGCAGTGTTTCTTCACAGTATGGGCGCTGCTGCAGCCAGTTCCCCACTTTTCCCCAGTTCCCATTTGCTTTGTGTCTGCCCAGTGTCTGTGCCAGGAGCAGGGAGATGCTCTGTGCCAGCTCCTTGTGGCACTCCACAGCCCAGAGCATTAGGGCAGTGGTGACCATGACACTGGATAGGAGTGTCTGTGTGAGTTTTTGGCTACACAGCCTGTGTGTAGCTCAGCCAGCTGGGCTGAGGCTGCCACAACCTGTGGGCTTATGTTCCCTGAATAGGCTTCACAGCCATCCAATACTCAGAAAAAGCCTGTTTGAGACTGGCTTGTGTGTCTCCATGAAATGCAGTCTGGAGATGTAGGTGCTACTTTAAACAAGCAAGCTGCAGACAAGTAAATTCACGTCCTGTAGGATGTGGCACTGAGCAACACACCAGGTGGAAACAGTGTTGTAGCAATATAAACCAGATTGTACTGGAATTCACATGAGAAGAAAATGGTGCATGAGAGGAAGAAAGTCTGAGAATAATCTTTTCTACTATCAAATTCACTTAATCTTCATTACTGAAGACTGCAATCCAAAGGGAGTGCCCAGGTACAAACCTGCTCAACCCTGTCCTCCTTTATGTTACAGCCACAGAGCAAGACCTCAGAATGGCTGATAAGAGCAATTTTGGGACTGCTAGTCAAAATACAGAGAGAAAGATGCTCAGGACCTGACCTGCTAGCAGGGAGAGGGAAGGACATGTCTAAACATCCTCTGAAATAGATAATTGGTTTGTACAGCAGCTCACTGATGGAAGCAGCTTCTGGGTGTCCCAGGGAACAGAGCTGTACAGATGAAGAGTGAGTAGGTGGAGTATCTGTCACAGAGTGGGAAGAAGATTATGAAATAGTGAGGTGTGTTTCTTTCTTCTTTACAGAAGGATTGGGATTGTCTTCTGCTACAGCCACAGAACACCCCACTGGTAGCAGGACCCATGTCCCAAGGCAGCAGAATCTTGGCTGCTGGTCAGTCTGGTGCATCAGCTTTGGGCTTCACCTTCTCTCCCTCCACAGAGGCTTTATATTGCTTCTCTGTGCTGCCTGGTCATAATCCAAATTATGAAATTTTTTTGAAATTTCAGTGGTAATAGAATCTTCCTAGAAGTAGCTTTTCAGAGACATGGAGGGAAAACTTGTAGATGCTTTTTTGAGAGAAAAGTAATTGCCTATTACACATTTTTATTACCCTCTCAAAAATTCCATTCTGTGTTGTGCTTTTGGAAGAGGTTGATATTAAAAGGCTGGGTCTGGGAGGCTTCTGCATTATCTTACACTGATCCAACAAAAGACATCTTGTTTGTCCTTCCAGCTTTTCTTTTCACATGCAGTTGCAACAGGAAGTTACTCATTATTGCATTTACATTTTGCATAAAGCAACCTACAAAAGTCATGCATTTAATCCACTCACATTTTTCTGTAGCTGTTTTGAAGTAGGTGGACTGTCTTCAGCATTAAGGTTAATCACAGACTGCTTTCTAGAGCAGATTTACATATCAAGGTGGAATGTCACTTAGAATGTGAACAAAGAGGATTGGGGACTGAAAATATTTCTTTATCTTGGGGATTTCACTGGGGTTTGTCCTGTAGCTGAGACTGCAGATACTAAGTTCTATGACTGCTTAATAACTCAATTCGGAATTTTACTTTTTCAGATCTCCGTTGAGGAACTTGAAAGAAATTTGATTATAAAGGTCAATAGGGATGCAGTTATGAAAATAGCTGTCTCAGGAAACCTGTTTACACTAGACAAGGGAGTGTATCAGCTGAATTTGACAGTAGGAGGCATTCCTTTCAAAACAAAGGACCTTATTCTACCAGTAAGTATAGCATGATAACTTGTGTTCCTTTGCATGCCTGAAGGGCTTGATTTCATCTTCTTTTGGGGTAATGTAGGTCCTTCCTGAGAGCTGTTCAACCTGCCCTGAAACAGGTGGAATTATCACCTTCTGGATACAGCTTTCTGTCCACTGACTATAGCAGGAGCCTAAGCCAATAGCAAAGTTGGGTCTCCATATTTTTTGATTGGTAAGTTTGGGTGAGATGTATCCCAGTTAGGGCACAGCAAAACTGGAGCACATGACAAAATTCACAGTGGTCATGCTGGCTTGGAGAGCAGGAGTGGCCTGGGGAGGGGTCAGTGGGCACGCTGCTATGAGAGGGTGCCACTGTGCCTGCTAAGTCTGGGACCGACATCGTGGCACTCTTTGTGTTGTGACCAAAGTTGGTTCTTCACGTGTAACAAATCACAATTTGCTGCATGTGTTTGCTGTATCAGCATAGTGAGACCCAAGGAAAAACAGAAGCTTATTTTTCTTTATTTCCTCCTAACTGAAGTAGATACAACATATGAATAAAAGTTGTTATTCATACAACATATGGATAAAATCTTACCCAAGGACCAAAGCAGTCCTTGGGTAAGATTGGATGATTGCTGTGTTTCTGGAATAGCTGCTGTTCAGGTTGGTTTAAATGTCCACCACAAGCAGAGTTGGCACCTTGAAATCCAAATTTGCATCTCTTTATTCCTAAATGAGGCCACAAGCTTGTGGCTCTGTAACTGGGAGTGAAGCAGCTGAGCCTCACAGCTCCTGTGCCTTACAAGAAGTCATTCAGGGCCACTGCTTGTGAGAAACAGTAAGCCCAGGGTGTAGTCAGCATCTAGGACCAAGAGCCAGAAAGTCCTCAGGTTTTTATCCTGGCTCAGACACTTAATTCTCTCTCTCCTTCGCTTAACTGGGGGTAGCAGTGCTGATTTAAAGACTTTGCAAGGAGCCTTCACTTTACACACTGACTCACATTTTAATGCTGACATCAGGACAGGATAGGCTAACAAGAAGCTGGAAGGAATAAGGTGTGTACAGAGCAGTGTGCTGGTCTTGTGGTGCCAGCACCCCTCCTTGAGCCAGAGCCCAAAAACTTATACCGTGATCAGCTCCAATGTCTGTCTTGTGTGTCATACAGGGTGTCTGCAATGACAAAAAGGATTGGGATTTTCAGCCTTAACTTTGCCTCCAGCATTTGCAATGCTAAATTACAGAGCTTTGGCTACAGAGCTTTAGAAATAAGTTGTATTAATGATGGGCAACACATAGAGGAGCTTACAGAACCAATACAACCAAATCAGCACCTGCACTAGCTAGTGCCCTTGTGGCCCATGGAGACAAGCTGAGCTCAGGGGAGTTTCCTGGGGAAATACTGACCACTCACCTGCTTGGGGTTGCAGGATTGGGTTTGCCGCCTCTTGGTTTGCATGTGCATAACATGTCAAAATTATTTCTACTGTTTAGTATGATAAGTATTCCTTTGCACACTCAGTATTCCTTTGCACACAATTCTCTTCACTGAACAGTCACTTGAGGCATAAGACACTGCTTTATCTTCGCAGATAAACCCTCGGCTGGATGGTTGCATGCGGGCGTGGAACTGGCTGAATGGGGAGGACACCTCTATCCAAGAGACCATAAAGATGAATGAAAAGATGCAGTGCTTTGCTGTAGCAGGACGAGGCTCTTTCTATCCTGGACGAGGTTTTGCTGTGTTTAATCTTACTTACAGTAAGTAAGCTGGGGTTTTTTGTTTCTGGCCCGTTGTCCTGCCATTAACCACACCTGGTTAATAAAGAGTGTTAAAACTTAGGTGTGTGCCAGACTCACTGTTGGTTGATGCAGAAAAGATTAAACTTGAGGTTCTTAGTAAAGGAAGGCCTATAAATGATAGTTTGAGCCAGTGCAAATATGCCCAGCAGGATTAGGTTCTTTCTGTGTAGCTCCAGTAATACATTTCACAGCCAGACTAGCTCCAGCTCATCCTCAGCCTTAGAGGCTTTACATCTCTCTGTCAGCAGCTTAGGTGCTTCCAGCCCCTACCATTGTTTTCTGCTCAACAGGGAGACCTGCAGCCATACTGCTGTATCTTGAGGTTATGATAGACGGAAAAATTAATATTGTCTATTGTCTTGGATTCACTTTTAATCATGGGGTGTTATTACTTACACTTGGGACAAGTGCACTAAGCATATCTCTGATAGAAGCCAATGAAATTACAATACAGTAATAACAGGTTTCAAATCAAACTTGTCCATACTAATGTAGCACTCAGAAAGGCACCTTTTACTATTCTAGATTATTGTGTTTGCTTATCTGTGTAATCAACCAATCAGTATTTCTGAACCCACACAAATGCTGACCATCTATTTCAGAGTGGCGTGTAAGTCCTGCTCCACAGGAGCCATGTGTTCAGTGTTACGTGGATTTGTCTGCTGTGTCATGGTAAATTAGGGAGTACCAGGTGTCTGTCATATTACTTAGCACGTGGATTCCAAAGTTGCAAAGACAAGGCAGCATGTAGAATGCAGGTGAAGTGCAGATGACAGCCAAGATAAGGCCTCAGCACCTGCTCTTTTTTTTCCCAAACAATCATTATCTTTTTTTTCTTTCCAGTGGTAAGCTTTATAAAAAATGGATTATTGTATTTCAAGATGTGGTGAACCTGCAAAGCTAATAGTCCTGTGAAGGGAGGTTGCAGGAGCAGGTTGAGATCTTTCTTTGCAGCCTTTAAATTATTAGGGCACTGAGGCAGTAAGAAGATACCAGAAAGTTTAATTCAGTGTTCAACAGGTGAAATAAAACATGCCACACTTCTGAGAGATCGGTGATCAGGAAGAGTTTGAGTAGGTGCTGAGTGTAGTATGCTTATACAATTTTTGAGTTTAATACAGGCTTTCATAGAAATGTTTCCTGTGTGTCAAATTTCAACTCAGATTTCTCAATGATCTTTAGGCAGACTGGTTCAAAAACTGGTTTTTGATTGACCTATGTCGCAGCAGTTCTTTGAATGTGTCAGATTGGCAGCCATGGGAATTTGTGATAAAAAGCTTTATGTTATCCTTTGACATTCTGAAAAGCAGCAGAATGCATAAGGTAACAAGAGGAAACTGATGCCATTTTCTTGTCCAATTTTATGTTCAGATGCTTTGGAATGAATTTTTTTTAATTAAAAAAAATGTGGCAGTCCCTCCAGATGCTCATCTGGCTATGCTCTTCTCCAGGGAGATATTGAACAGCTTACCCATTTGACACATTGTCCAATGAATTTCTTTTTCTGCAGTGCAACCTTCTTCTGGAAATGAAACCATGACAAACTGGGAAATTGAAATAAATGCTGTAATTCAACCAGCAACAGATACTGGTGTGCTGTTTGCCCTAGTTACAGAAGAAGCATCTGTCCCTTTATCACTATCTCTGATTGACTATCACTCCACGAAGAAACTGAAGCAACAGGTACAAACAAGTATTTCTGGAGAGAAGTTTCCTTACTGTTTCCTGGTTTGCTGCCTGTCTCATTATTTGTCCCACCTGTTCAGAGCATGTTCTGAAGCAACAGTGCTTGCCTGAAGTTCTGCCTCTTACAGGTGTGTGTCAGATGCCAATAGGGAGCTCTCTGCAAATGTGACTTAGGTAAAAGATAGAACTGCTCCCTTGAATGCAGGCTTTTTTTTTTTTTTTTATTCTGGCACAGAAACTGTTTAGTGCCATGAACCAGGGATTTCCATTCTTGATTATCAGTACCTGTCCCAAAGTAGCCAAGAGACAGGCTTTACGTGTGGGAAAGGTGCTGGGAAAAGCCAGTCATGTTGGAGTGTTGAAGCTACTATTTAATGGCATTCCACAAGGGAAAACCAGGAAGGATTTCACCAAATCCCATGAGCCAATTTTCATTTATAGTACAGCAGCTCCAGTTGGTTTGTCCCCAGTGCAATATAATGACTTCTGCAAGACCCACTAAGAACTCTCTCTGAGAAAACACGGTTTCAAGAATTAGTCCCACTGGTTTGCTGGTTTTTCATCTGTGCAAATGAGCTCAGAACACAATCAGCAATAGCAATAAGCCTAATTTTCTGGAGACTCTGCAAAATATTTGTAATAAAGGGCACACTGGTACTCATCCTGGTACTGGGTAAGTGTAGCTAGGTATTTTTCTGCTCATTGCCTCTTTTTCTTTCTTTCTCCTGCTGCTCAGTTTATCATCGTGGCCGTGGAGAGCACAGTTGTGTCCAGACTGGCAATAAATCTCTGTGATAAAAAGGAGCACTCTGTAGATGTCCTCCTCAAGAAAGATCACTTATCCCTGAGGGTAGATGGGATAGCAGGAGAGAGTGAACTAAGCATCTCTGAGCTGGAGGACAGTCTGTCCGTCTTGGAGAGCTCTTTGCAGGCAACGAAGACATACGTGGGAGGATTGCCAGGTGAGCCTCCAGTTTTGTACCATGGACCACAGACTTCCAACTTGCTTTGCTGAGCTGGGAGTCAGGAAAATTGTTTCTGTTCAAGCTGTGAGAGTCCTCCTCTGTTTCTGCTTGAGCAGGCTTTGTCTGCAATGCAGGAACATAATGGATCTGGGGTTGCACTTCCCTTGAATGATTGTGTCCTTCTGAGGGCAGCTGGAGGCAAAAATACAAGGAGAAGGTTTTGCTTGTTCAGCAATAGGAATGATTTAATTTGAAGGATTGCTGTAAGCTGGGCTATTATCTTAAACCTGGTGAAATCCATAGGAGCTGGGCTACAGGTTTCTGCAGTGCTTCATTAATGTAATGAATCCATGCGAGCACTCCTTGAGGGGAGCACTAGAGCCTCAAGCTGTTTTGCCTGAATCTTGGGAAGCCCAGTGTGGGATTGTCCCTGGCTGATGCTCTCTGTGAAGTGATCACAGCACGACAAGGTTAACTGACTGCCTCCCAGCAAGGAGCATGTAGGGCACAACCAAGGGGTTAAACCATTTATACTGTCTCTGGCTTTTCAGCAACAACAGGGTTTCTTCTGGGAGGTCATTTTGAACCTCCTCTCTTCTGAACATGTAAGATCAAACTTTCATCTCAATCGTGAATTTTGGCCAAGTTTGGGAGTTTGTTTCTTGTTCTGCCTGAACAGGTTTATCAGTCCCTTCTGCTGAGGAATGCTGTGAAAGGAACACTTATGTTTCTGATGCACATGATGCCAACAGCTAAGCAAAATCTTGCCCTTACTTGCCCAAGCAAGGGAGAGGTACAAATGTTGGCCTCTTGTGAGGTGCTGAAGCAGTCAGGCTGGAACAGGGTGTCTGAGGTGCCACACAGTACACATGGTGTGGCTGTCCCCACCATGAGCAAGCATTTACAGCGATTTATGCCGATGACGCAAATGGCTCCCAGTCACACCTGGAAGGGGAGGCCACACACTCTGGGACATTCACACAGTGGCAGGAGCGAGGCTGAAATCCCAAACGTGGCATTTTCTACTCTCAGATTGAATTATCTAAGCTGGCCATTGCACAGGCAAGAGAGGTTGCCTGCTTTTTTTTTAAGCTGCTCTCAGGTGCACAGTGGAGGCTTCCACAGCTCAGAAAATCATCCCATTCTGTCACTGTCCCACGTTCTCTGTGGTTTGCTTACCTGTGCTGGATGTAGCCCTGGTTTTAATTTGCCAGAGCTGAGAGTGAGATACCATGGCTGAGGCAGCTCAGGCTCAGCTGGCTGCTGTAGGTTTAGCTGCTATCCCCCCTTTGATCCGTTGTGCTTAGCAACAGGAATTTCTGCCAGCACTCTGCTTTTGCCATTGAGAGGAACCCAGTGCTTGCATGAGAAACCCTGTCATTTGCCAAATAAATAAACATTTCAGCACTTCCAGTTGGATTAATCACTCTGGGCTAACTAACAATACCAAATGGTCAGATCTAAGTGAGTTTGGCTCATTCAGATTTTGAAAACATTACGTAGTTTTTAGTTTTTCCATGCTTCCATACCCTGTGGAAAAAACAGTATAGTGGTCAAACTTCACGTCTTTATTCCATTTGCCACAAATAAAGAAAGAATTCTGGATCCAAATATGTATTAAGTCTGATCCTAAGCACAGCTAATGTTGCAGATGTGGAAGAAATACTACTTAGAGTTTCAACAGATAAGAGGGAACATGTAGACATTAATTACATTTTGTATAGGCTTTTCAGTTCTGGTAAATCCTAAATTATGTAATTTATGTGACGCATAGGTGATTTTTCAGAAAATATGCATTCCACCAGGTGAAGGAACCATTAAACTAGCTTTCCAAAGCTTTACATGACCACATTTTGGACAGATCAATTTCTAGTTATAACAGAAAATGAAATATTTCACATAATTTACAACACAATGAAAAAAAAATTAATTTCTTTTTAATCTCTTGCAAATCCATCTGAAAGCCCACACTGTTTCAGTCAGCCCTGTGGCACATGTAACAGCAATCTGCTTGACTCCTTAGACAATTCTTCAAGTTGCTAAGTCACAACTTCAACTCCTTCTGACTCAAAATTTAGTTTACATTCGTGTGAGGTATTACAACAGAGATGCTGTATTCTTCTAAGCAGACTTTGCAGATAAACTTTGGTAAATGGGAGGAATGAGAAATAGATAGCATCACTAAATAAAGCAACTGCCAAGCAATGGTAGCTCTCCCCCAGGAAGCTGAAGAGATTTATAGTATTTCTTTGTGGCTTACAGATCTCCCACAAATGTTCTCTCTCCCACTCAGTCCTAGATTCTGTCTGAGCTGTGTCTGGTCACATCAGCCCTGCATATCTCCAGGCAGAACACTTTAAATTTCATATAATCTTGGGTCTACAGGACAACTTATTGTTCAAGTTGTCCTTGCTTCGATGTAAAGATAAGTGATTTATTTGGCTACCTGAATCACTGTGAAGTTAAATATTCTTTGAGGCATTCATTATTTTCCATTACACAACCAGTTTGATTGGGTCAGCTTTAGGCTGTAAATAAACTAAAGACCTTTGGGGAAAGGTAGAGGACAGAGCTCATGTAGATTTTCTTGTCGTTACGTTACTGTGCTGGGTTTTTGTTTGTTTATGGTCAGTGTGCATATGATATTACAGAAGTTAGTAGTAAGATTGACTAATTTCCTCTAGTCTATTGGATTGTACTTAGTGTCTTCTTCCTTGCCATCTGTTTTCTGTCTCTGGTAAACTGATTAAAAGAACAGTGGATGTCCACAGTAAAAATTAGTCTCATTAGTCTGACCAATTCAGCTGATGCGTTCCAGCACCTTGCTGATGAAGGCCACCAACCTTCCTGTGCTCATACACAGCAAAATCATGTCAAGATGAGTCCAGCAAGTGGTAGAGGCAGCATGTGGGAAGTGCTTTCTTGTCATAAAGTCTTTCCTATAATCTTTTGAAGCTATTTTGAAGAGAAAGAGCATTAGAGGAAGGTCTAACATCTCCACCACTAGTAGAGCAGAGGGTTTGGAGATGGAGCGGGGAAAACATGGGGCTGTGTGAACACATTGTGCCACTGCAGTGAAGCCTTGCTGCTGTGCAGCACAAGGTTCCATGGTTTCATCTTGTCTGGAGGCCTTGCAGAGACACAGAGCAGCTGAGGAAGGGTTCAGCCTGCGAGAAGGGCTTTTGTGCACCAGAACAGATGGTGTTTTCCTCACGTCTGGGATTGTGCTCTTGCCTTCTGGCAAGGGGGCAGGGGAGGTAGAAATGCCAGCATGGAAAGAGGTGAGCTTGAATGAGCAGGAGCAATAGCCATCTGAGCCTAGGCAGGGCAGGTGTTTATTTAAAGGCAGCTGTCAGAGATATTTATCTCCCCTTTCCGACAGACGTTCCTGTCACCTCCACTCCGGTCACCGCGTCCTACCACGGCTGCATGACCCTCAAGCTGAGCAACACAGCACTGGACTTAGATGAGGCTCTCTACAAGCACAGTGACATCACCTCACATTCCTGTCCTCCAGTCCAGGAGGGTCAGTAGGTACCACTGCAATGCGAAAGTTTTATACTCAGAAACTTTCAGTGCTTTTCTTTTTTTAAAAGATATAAATTATTCAGATCTACCGCACTGCGTGTATAGTTTCTCTTAAACACTGAAGTTACGTAGAAGCTACTGATCCTTATGTCAAATTGATTATTGAAATACTCTTTGCTTTGAGGTTTAAAGGTTGTAATATATTTGTAAATAGTTCAGAAGACTAATATTAAATAAGTCAAAACAGAATGTACTGAAAGTGAATACTATCTTTAGACTGTAAGAGACAGTTTCATCTGTAATGTGGGAAACCTGGTAATATATGAGTGTGGACTGGAAGAAAAATAATAATTCTGTATTATTTTTTATTACCAAACACTGCTTTCTGATTTGCAAAATATGAGAGAATAAAATATTTACATACATGTTTTTAATTTACCTGTACTGAGATTATTCTGTATTCTGGTATTTGGAGACAGTGACTCAGACTGCGCCTGATCTGGAGGTTACACTGGGTGAGCGTGGGGGAGAGGGGAAGGGCTGGGTTTTTTGGGGTTTTTTTTGAGATTAAGGGTTGGGGGTTTATATGCTTTCATCAGTATTTCATATCTTCTCAGCTGCAGAGCAAATGGTGGCTGCTGTTCTTATTTCTAGAGCTTCTCTTTCTGGTACCACAGAAAAAGGACTCAGTTGTGACCTTTAGAAAAACTCTTGGTCAACAGAAAATGGAAAATGAAGTTGGGTCAGCAGGAAACATTTAGAAGAAAAGACTCAAGAAGTTGAAAGCCATACAGCTTTTGTGTCAATAGCTGTTGGAGTAAATGATGAGGTGTTGAGAGTTGGGGAATATTATCTGGTGATGACATATTTTTGCTGCTGCATTTTTATGTTGGCTCATTCACTGTGAGCAATGGGAGCAGAGAGGTTTGAGCTGTGAGAGTTAGCCAGGCTGAACTGCATGAGGTGAGAATATCTCTGGGGGTTTATGCAGGAAACATTTTAGAGCCATAAAGTGTGTTCAGCTTTTCAGCTATCCTTCTGAAGTTGGGATGGGGTTTGCCTAGCCTGTCTTGAGTCACTTAAGTCTTGTTTTATTTGGTCCTTTCTTGCATCAAATTAATAAACTGAGTAATCTTGGTATATGCTGTGGTGCAAAATCCAAGTATTGGGTGTCTAAAGTTATACCATCCTTCAGAGGATTAGCATGAAAAAGATCTAATTCTAAATTATTCTTGGTCAGTCATGTTATGTTTTCCCTAAGCAGATAAGGAGATAACACATTAGTCTAATAATCCTCATGTGCGACAACATCTGCGACAAAACTGTGAAGATACAACTGTCCCAGTGGAAAAGAGGCAAGAAGGGGAAGACTATTCCAAGCATATTTTCTAGCAAGGATCCCTGCTTTATTTAGCATAGAAGAGGAAGGTACTCTTTTAGCCATTAGACATGACATCATGGCTTCTTATCGTAAGTAAAACAATCAGCAGTAATGCAGTAGGGCAGAAAAGAACAGAACTTTATCACTTTGAACCAACCTACTCATTTATACTTGGACCTACTGTCAGCTCTGACCACACACAAGTTTGTAAGGAAATTTCCCACTAGACAGTAATATTATTGACAGATTGTCAAAACCAAAACCTAGAAGTAGTTCTAGGTTTTTGCTTTTTTTTCAGTTGAGCAAGGGAAACCACCTTCTTCCTGAAAGTGCTTTATATTACCACTGATGCCTCTGGATCAATTTATTATCCAATTTATTATCCAGCCTTGGGTTGTTGCTGGAAACAATGTTGATAACTCTGGGATGTTTTAGCTATTGCTCAGCTGGGCTTGCAGAGAGTCAAGAGCTTTTCTGTTTCTCAACCCACCAGTGAGGGGGCTGGGAGTGCACAAGGAGTTGGGAGGCGACACAGCTGGGACAGCGGATCCCAAGTGACCAGAGGCATGTCCCACACCATATGGCCTCATAATCAGCACATAAAGCTGAGGGACAAAAGGGGAAGGGGAGGGACACTTAAGAGTGATGGTCTTTGTCTTCCCAAGTCACTGTTTTCCATGTGACGTTGCCCAGCTTTCCTGGAGATGTCTGAACACCTGCCTGCTCACGGGAAGTGGTGGGTGAATTCCTTGTTCTGCTTTGCTGGTGTGTGTGGCTTTTGCTATACCTACAAAACTGTCTCTATCTCAGCCCATGAGTTTTCTCACTTTTACCCCTCTGATTCTCTCCCCAGTCCCAGCAAGGGAGAATGAGTGAGTGGCTGTCTGGGGCTGGGCTGCTGGCTGGGGTTCCACCACAAAAAATCTCCCATCTTTTAGACTTGGAGTAACTCCACTGAAAAAAATTACAGATTCGGAAGACACCTATTTTTATACCAAGAAGATGAAACAAGCCCTGCTTTACTTTGTTTTTTTCAAATCAAACAATCTAGCAAAATAGTTCCATGTCTGGTATTTTGGTAAAATCTCTGTGGTAGCTCCAAAAAAACTACCATGTGGTATAAATGAATCACAAACACGTCTAACTTTTGTGTTAATGTAAGTGCCACTATTTATGTGGCCAGAATTATTTTGGGTCCTGGAAACATGAATCCTGTGGTATGTTATGGTACTCTGCAGTTTCATACTAAATGTCACGTGTACAAGAGCATTTAATTCTCTAATTCACAGCAGAAATTGCTCCCAAACTTTGCATATGTGTGCATGTATGTGTAGATATTTTGCATAGACCACAATGCACTCTGACTCTAAATGTGGTTTAGAAGAGAAACTCTGCATTTCTCAGTCTGGAGAATGACAGAAGAGGTAGGGGGACAAGGGGGAGCAGAGTGTAAAGATGAATTTTTTTAATACCTTACTGCAGTACCATACTGGAGAAAGGTTTGGAAGAAGAGGTAGCTGCAATAAGCATTCCTTCGTTCCTTCTCAGTCACTTGCTTCAACCCAAGAGAAACATTGACTTCATCCTTGTTCAGTTAGTCTAGGTGTTCAACCCAAAGGGATCAAGTCTGTTCTGGACTTTGAGTGCTCAGAATGGACCCTGGTGGTTCCCCTGGCAGTATTCATAGCAGGTAAAAGAAGTAAATGTGTAGCTTCGCTTATTTCATAGTCAGAGTGACTGTGCTTTTCACAGCATGTATTTGCACACGAACTAAGCATTTGGGATGCATTAAATTAATGTTTTAAACAAAACAAATGGTCTCTTTTCAGACTTGTGTTTTTCTCAGCCAGGTTCATATACTCATCTTGTCAACAATACACATAAGGCACCTCATCACTGGCCTAAAACTTTGCATCTCAGAAAAACCTTAATTGAACAAAAGGTAGCTTTTATGGTCCATATAAATTAATCTCTTCTTATGTATATCAGTACTGGATCTGCTTTTTATACATAGAGGTAAAACACATGAATTAACTGATATTTTTTACAAGTTGCAAAAGGGTGATCACTCTTTTTTCCATTTCAAGCAGGTCTGATGGTGTCTCTTCCTTTCAAAGGAAACCGTCAAGTAAGCTGGTTTTGTTTATTTAGTTTTTTTCAATATCTTCATAATACAGAGCAGCTGCTTAAAATGTTAATAAGAAATACCTTCCGTTCCCTGTTTTACTCTTTGGCATTTCAGGAAATTTCTAGAGCTTCATTGCTGTCTAGACTGTAAGATCTATGGAGCAAGCAGCACCAACACCCTTCCTGCAGGAGTAAAATGCAGAAAAGGGATGCAGCATTTAGATGAGTTTTCATGCTGTTTGTAAGTACCCCTGTCCCAAAATACAGCAGGTGTGTGCCAAAGGAATCCCAGCTAATGTGGTACACGGTGAGGAGGTAGGGTGCAGACAACAGGGACATGGCTTTTTTCCTGTCAGTGGCACTGCCAAAGGTATTGTTGCTTAGCCTTTGGGGATAATAAATTCATTAAAAAAGGAATTGGGCCCTTTCATTCCTTTCATCCTTTCATTCACTCTGTTTCAGTCATTGTGAAATAACTGCATTAGGTCTTGGATTAACTTAAAAATAAGTAAGAGGCATTTAACCTAAAATGGTTTTGTTGGGGGTGCCCTTTTGACTAGAAAGGAATTAATTTGAACACTAAAGTGTAGCCTAAAATACACGCCTGGAAATGGTATTTTTAGTGCATTAACATGACATTTTACTGTGAAGACTAGACTGGCACAAAGTTCAGCTAAAACAGTCCAAATAGAATTAGCCTTTCTATCTGAAACTTGAAAAGGGAAACTATTTGGTAATGTACTTCTTCCTCTGTTCTTTTGTTTTCCTTTCCTTCCAAATATACACAGCCTTAGGATAGTATAAATATACACAGTGAACTTTATTGTAAAATAATTGCCACACTTTATTGGTACAACACTTTCACCAGAAGAGTTATTAAACACTACAAGCAAACAAACTCTTGCTACCCAAAATTATTGACTCTGGGAGCTCCCAGCTACCCACTCAGACAACACAGGCTAAAACCCCTCAATACTGGTTCATGAAAGCAGAACACATATCTGGAGTGTTTTCTTAATTTTTCCTCTTGAAGAAAATCTATTCTGCAGTGGACTGGGAGGGAAACATCTCAAGCTTACAGTAGCCAGAAAGTTCTGCCACACCTGACTGCAGGCACACTGAGTGGTGGCGTGCCTGCCCTCACAGCTCCAGGGCTCTGCCCTGCTCACAGGGAGATGTGGGTAAAAGCAGAGTGGCAGTAACACTCTGTGCTGGGCTCCTTTGGGAAGTCTAGTGCCTGCACAGCACAGTTTCCAGAGGTTTCTTTAAAACAAAATAAAAGCCTACCAGCTACTAAAATAATTTCTTTGTTCTATGGTGCATATGGTGGAGGCTTTTCTCCAGGCAAGCAGTAAGTTGGTGTGTAGAGGGCTGGAGCATTCGGGGGAAGACCATAGCTGGAGCTGGACTGAGATGGAGGCTGAGTTTCTTCTGATAAGGAAATGTCAGTAGATGATGTTCCTGGAAAATTGCTGGCAGGCTGTATCAGACAAGGAAAAATAACTTCTTCAGTAGAGGATTACAACCCCATTGCAGATTTGTGTTGTTTGCCATGTGTTACATAATAAGCCCCACAATTAAATTTCTCATGCATTGCAGCACAACATTAACTTCAGTTCTAAAGCACCTGCTTATGTGTAGCAATGATGGTGTCTAGTGAAACAAGAGATTCCATCTGTAACCCAAGTCATTTTTAATAGACATTGTGCAGACAGCTAGGCAATACAGCAGAACAGGAATTTCTGCAGGAAAAGATGCTTGGCTTCCTGGGTGAGACACAGCACCTGACTGACTGATTAGGTTATGTGTAGCTGCTCCTTTCCAGGCCTCACTGTGAAATTTCAATTACCTCAGATGTAATTAATCTCAGTTATAATACTTGCATAATTATTTGTCAAATGCAGATCCCTCTTAAGAGAAAATTTTACAGGTGGACACGTGTCTCCCTCTTTGGCAGTCAGCTATGATGGGGATCTGCCTGAAAAAGGCACGATAAATAAAGAGCTTGGGAAGTGGCCCATTTTCAGGAACAAGCAGGGTTCGTTAAAACAAGAATGCATGCAGGGAATAATATTCTGGATAAAATCCTACTACTGCTTTAAATCAAGTTTTGTCACTGATTTCAAGAGGGTGAGGATTTTATTCCTTCTCTCATATGTCAGCATGCGCCAGTCTACGGCCTTCAGCTGAAGACTTGGGCTCAGCTCCCCTCAGGTTCAGACTTTTAAGTGAACTTAAAGTGCCTGAAATTTAAAAACAAGATAAAGTAATCATGGATCTTTTTTCAAGGAAAATTAAAAATCTGGGCAAGTGATGTTCCCTGCTGCTAAAAAAATTAATAGCCACAATCTAGAAGGCCAGGGCCAGGGAAGGCCCTTGGACAATGGCATCTCAGAGCTGTCCAGGGCTGGCAGACCCCATACCAAGGTGTTTGCTTCCTCCATGGGGCTCCATGTGAGCAAGGGCTGCTGCCCTGGGTCAAACCCTCCTGGCAAGGAGAATGTTGTCCTGCATTTGTACCCCAGTGACTTAGTGAGTGAGAATGGGGACATCCCAATGGGAAGGCTCGTTTATGCCCTTTAACTCTCTGAGGCAGTGCAGGTACACTGACAGACCTGCTAGATACATCACCTCCAAAATTAGGTGTTGTGGTTCTGGGTTGGCTTGGGTTTTATTTATTTCAGAGTTGTTGCTTCCCTCCCCTTTCAACCTGCAACCATTGCTTCCATCTGTTTGCCTGGAATTGTTTTTGCCGTGAGTTCTTTAGCAGGAATAACTGGCAAAACCCATAACTGCTGTCATCACCACCAGTCCCTGCCCAGCTAATCAGGACCATTACCTGCCTAGCTGGCTGGCCTGTTACCAAGACTAGTTGTGGCTGAACTGTACCATTAAGGGATGTATTATTTTGTTGGCACATGTCACAGTAAACAAAATAAATGCTGGTTGCATCCTTTTAAAATGCATTCCTGCTATCACCATTTCTTTTTGTCATTTTATTTAGAGATTGTTTTATATTTATATTTATAGATTTATTTTATAGACTTTGCCTCTATGGCAAGCATTTATTCAGTGAGATACTGGATTCAGGACCAGGAATGAATGTCATATATGCTTAAGCTGAGATAATTCACAGGTGAGTCTAAAGGGTAGATGAGCTCAGTCAAGGTCTTCTGCTCTGTGGACTGCTAAAACTTAAATTCAGTTTCCCACATCTAAGTGTACAGCCCTTTTGGGATGCCATGGGATATCCCATATGTCTCTTTGTGCGACCTGGGGACAATGGGACCTGAACCTGGACCCTCTCACAGTAGCAGCAGGGGACAGGTGGCTACTTGATCTCATTATCAGGCAGTACTAGATCCCTACATGCCAACAGCCCCTGTGTTCAGCCAGATGAAACCCAGACCCAGACTGGGATTAAGGACTACAACCATCTGAGCAGGGCTTGTGAGGGTCTGAATCCAGCAGCTTGAAGCTCTGAGATGGAACATGAAGACCTCGGACCGCCAGCTCCATGGATTCAGCCCACAGCTCCCAAGCAATGGAAGCAGATGACAGTTAAGCTTCTGGCTGTTCCTAATCATTCCTGCTTCCGTCATTCACAATTTGCACCTCTGAATAAGTTTATTATGATTTTTTAAAATTCATACACTGATGCAGAAATTACTTCTCTCCAAACTGCAACATAATGAGTTCATACATACAGGGAGGTGGCTTGCTTTGACTTTTTTCCCCAGGAATAGAGTTAAGTTTTCCCATTGTTTCTTAGTAACCATCCCAGTGGATTCCAGTGTTTCTTACTAACATCTCCTGCCTTGGGGACAGCTGGTGGTGTCTGCCTTTGAATGTTGTGAAAGTGAAGGAAGATAAATGAACACACTTATTACTTGAAAAAGTAGAAATCTAATAAAATAACAGTGTTTATTTTGGAGTGCAGATAAGAATTTGGGGTAAATGCAATGTATTTCTGTTTCTCAGTGGACACAGTACTGAACAGTCACTATGGATCCTCATGAGTACTCACATGAATCTTTTCAGCTTAATTTCATGTGTTTCTACCTCCTTCTCTCTCTCCTCTTGGCTACGCTAACCTCATCAGCAGGTGAGAGTCCAAAGGACAGCCAGAGAGATCCTGAGGTCTGAGAAGAGACCAGAAAACTAGGCACAGACTAAGTCATCCCACAGGCAAACCTGGGAGCTGGGATCCTGTGCAGAGGACCTGCCTCTGCAGAGTTTGTACTGAGTAGCAGCCAATGCTTTTCGGATGGCGTGAGAAGGTGTGTGCCCGTACTGTACCTGAAGAGGCAGTGGGTAGGACGGATAGGTAGAAATCGTTGCTGCAGAGGGACAGAACCCAGCGTAGGTCAGGATCTGCTGGGCAGGATTGTACAGGATCTGAGGAGGAGGTGCAGCACTGAAGGCAATTTGGGACAGAGGTACCTGTTGAGCACACAAGACAACAATTTATCAGTCCAGTGTAGAGGGGGCTGGAGCAGGAGCTGCTCCTAACACAAGCAACAAGACATTTTAACAACTTTCTATTTTCCAACACAATACCAGTAGTACAAAAAACCAGCAGACAGAATGAGAGGAGGGTGTATCCGGAATGAATTTTCTGAGTAAAAATACACAGCTATTTTAATCTTCTTCCCTTGGAAAAAGGCTGCTGGTGCTTCCCTAGCAACAGTTACAGAAGTGCTGGCAGGACTCCAGATCCAAGACACCCTGAACTGCACAGTGTACAGCCTTGGCTGCCTCTTCTTATTCATCCAGCACCAAACACCAAGTCCTTCACCATTTGCTGCAGGCTCCTTCCAATAGCAACAATCTGATGCCCTCAAGCCTTTTTTCTCTGCTTTCCTACACAGATTTACCTAGATCTCCCTTTCCAGACCAGCTGCTCCTCTTTCACAGGTCACTCTCACTTGGGAAATGGAGTTCACTGCTGGCTCTCCAGCATCACTCACAATGTGCTTACCTCATTCCTACTGCAGAAAATCCTTCTCTCATGGCTTTATTGGCATGTCTTTTAATTACAAGGCAAAATGAAGTTTGAATGAAGAAGTAACAGCTCACATTAAACCAGCTAAAAAATCTTGGTCAGGAAGAAAGATCAAAACCTGAATGTGAAAGAGGGTTTGTGTTAAAACCTAAAACCCTGTGCCCTATGCTCTATAACAATTTGTGAAGGACAGCAGAGCAACAGAGCTCTGTGAAATATTTTAATGAGATAAATCCAGTGGTTTCTTTTATTTCCTTTGTTTTTGTTAGCAGATGCCTCCACATGAGAGCATGGAATTTTCACTGAAATAATAAAATATGGTAGTTGCCAGACAAATGCTGAAAGCAGCAGCCAGGATTTTTTTTTTTTTTCACTTCCTTTCAAATTTATCAGTGAGAGATATAAACTATTGCACCCTCTGGAGACACTGTGAGATCTCTCTGTGATTGAGAAAGAAGTATATTAATTGTGTTTGTACATGGAAAACATCATCTAGGTCACTCATGTACCACATAAGGTTACTGAAAAATCTAGGCTTTAGTTTCCTGGGGAAATCTGGCATTTCAGGAGCTGGCATGGAGAAAGGCTGGGATCAAAACAGAGAGCTTATTTCATGGGAGAAGGCAAGTCTCTTATCTTCAAGGCACCCTCCTCAAAACACTCTCATCTGCAAGGTACTCACCTTTCTACCTGCCCTGCTGGGTGGGTAAGGTGGGGAGAGATGAAAAGACACTGCCTCAGGAGCAGGGAGGAGCAGGTAACCTGCTTGCTTCAGACCCAAAGTTTGGGGCCAGTGCACAGTGCGCCCTTCCTCCCTCAGAGGAGGGACAAAATCAGATCCCTCTGACATAAATGAGTCAAGAAACTTTACCCACAGATGTGAAATATAGATGCCTGTTCTGCATCTGTCACCAAATTTCTGGTGTGGGTCTCTTTGGATGTTGCTGTGTGACCCCCTTTGGCTTCTTCTCTTAAGAACCTCTCTCAGTCCTCTCACATTCCATCCCCCCACAGAGCAATGCTCTCTAATTGCTAAGGATGAACATCTCAACAGCCCTAGAAGACAAATTTGGGGAGTCATCCACACCACACCTACTAATTCCAAGCACCTTATTATCATTCTATCTGGTCTCAGCCCACGGCCAGCAACAATTTGTGGTTCCTGAAGCTGGTTGGATGCTTTTATCAAGTATTCCAGTAACTCTGTGTTAAATTACTCACCTAAAATACAGGGGTGGGTTGAGACATTCTAAACTGCATCAACACCCAAGTCAAAGAGATAAGGAGCTATGAACTAGCCAGGGAGTACTAACAGCGCCAGCTCACTGGCCTCACATAGACCTGCCAAAGCATTTATGTCTGAGTTCCAGCTTCTTTTCACATCACCTGTAGCTGCATGAGTGCTAAGACACAAACCCATGGCAAGTAGCTCAGTAATTAGGGGCTCATTTTGCTTTCCTTTTTCGAGCAGGGTGAAGGAAGAGTAGAGGGGATAAAGCAATGCTATTTAATCTGTTCAGATTCCTTTAAGGACTGCAAGAAGGAGACTAATTAACAAATTTTAAAAGGCATCCCCTTCCTGCCCCCCCCATTCTCCCCTCAGGACTATCAGTAGTTCAGATTAATGCAGCCCTAAACTTAGGGCAGGCAGATTCCTTGGCAAGGTGTGTCAGAAAAACATCCAGAAGTCATCAAATGAACACCAGGACAGGGAAGGGAGCTTCTAGATTAACTCCTCATCAGCAAGTGAAATTTTCTATGTAATTTTCTATGTAATTCTTTACCTGCAACTTCTGTAAGAAATAATCACATTATGTTATCATTTTGGGTACCTCAACTACATCTCTTGATGTAATATCTTGATCAGGTTTTTTTGTTAGAGGTGACTTTAAGGTAACTGCCTCCATGTCCTATACCCAAGCATGCTGTAGATCTTAAAAGGCGATCAGGGGAGTGTGCCAGGGTCTGCAGGGAATTTGTCACAAGGAAAAATAGCCGAAATAACCAAAACAACACTTTTTTTTCCTGTCCAGGAAATATGATGGGTTTAAAGGAAAGGGCACTGTTTTGCAAACTCTCCTCTTTGTAACGTGGTTTGGCTGCCAGCATTCCCCAGAGATAAACATGATGTTTTTTGTTTGACTAGTCAGCCTGGCCTTGTGTTTTCTGGAAGTCAATCCCAAAGCAATGCTGTGAGGCATTTCAGGGGGCTTTGCAGTTCTCCCTGCAAAATGCCAGTGACCATTTATGTGAGAAGGTGACATCTTAAAGCAAAGTAAATAGTTCTCTCACATACTTTAAAGGGTTTTTTTTCTTTTCTCTTTTTATTTCGGTCCCATGCCCCTTTCCTTTCCTCTTCTACTTGATGTTTTCTTGGCCCCTGTCTTCCCCCAAGAGTTACTCCTTTTGTAAGGAAAGGGAGCAGCAGATTAGCAAATTATTTCTGGTACTAACTCAAAAGAACCCTGAGAAAGCACAGGCAGGAGCAAGGAGCGGTCATTGCATTTTGGATTGCTGCTTTAGTAAGACTTTCACAAGCACAGCTGAGGTGACTGACACAAACTCATCTTTCCCTTGAACTATGACATCCTTTTCCTGCTCACACTCAGTGGAGACATTGAACAGCTTATTCAGATGAGGTTTTTAGCTGGAGCCCTGACAGACTCACTCCAGCTAAGCCTGGGGTCAAGCTGCACATCCACTGCTGCTGTGATTTCCCTCCATAGTTTTATGCCACCCAGTCAGAGGACCCAGACCACGACCCAGGCTCTGCCTCTCAGCAAGGGAATGTGCAGGATCATGGAGACTGCAGTTCTCCCAGGAACATCTCCTTGGCTTGATGTTCCTCACGAGCAGTGCAGTGATGGCCCTGCAAAGCACAGAGCTGTATCAAAGCATCAGTCCAAATCTCAAGTAAGCTTAGGTTTGAGCAAGACAGGTTAGGTGCACTCAGGCTGGCTCTCTGCATGCTTCCCACAGCTGCACTCACACCCATCTGCTAAGCAGGAGAAAACATTTAGTGGTACTAAGCTGCAGTGCTCTCCCAAAAACTTGCTGTAGATGAGTGCTGCCTTCACTCCACATGCAAGCTGCTCTTCCCCTCATTTCATGGTTGTTTCTGTTCCCCTTCTCCTCCTCTCACAGGGAGGGGATGAATTAAGATGGGAAAACTGCTTCTACTCCCTTTGGGCAGCTGCAACTCTTCAGTAGCTGGCTGCAATCTGTTACCAATTCCTTGCAGGAGTCCCCTGCATAAAGGAGAGCTCAGCTGCACATTTCTTACATGCTGGACAGAGGAATATTTCCAAGAAACATTGCAACTCTTAACAAAGGTGAATTTCAAACAATTCATATAGTCCTGCTCTACTTTAAACATGGTTTTAAACACCCAATACATTGTAGATATTCCTGGGCATGCTTCCTAAGGAATGCTGGGTGGTCAAAGCTGTCAGACCTGATGGCCTCGAGTCTGAATGGGTCTTTGGCTCCAACTGGGTGCAAGTTCTGAGCAGCCCCTTCCTGCCAGTCTGCTCCCCCTCCTGTCCTGATGTACATCTCAGCTCTCTTGCCTTCTCTTTCCTGCTCTCTTTCTCTTTTTTTTTCATCTTACCCATCTTTCCATTTTCTTCTCTGCAACAGTGACCAGACACATCATGGATCTAAGATGCCCCGTGCTGCTATCACACCTCCCTTTGGTTGCTGCATTTCAACTCCATCTCCATGCCTCTGCCCATTTAGCTCTGCTGCTCTCCTGAGAGCCTAGCAAATCATGAGCCCCTGGCCTGGTCTTTGGGCATTGCTTTAGCAAACAGGGCCACTGACAGTGATGATCCCAGGAACAGCAACTTCACCCTTTAACGTGTCGTAAATCCAGCCGAATGAGTGGGCTTTACTCCCCCCACACAGTCTCTTCTGAATGCTGTGATGCACATCAACACAACACGGTGGTGTGGCACAGGGAGTAGTTAGAAGGTGGCTTTTCTTACTGAAACAAAAGAGGATGTTGAAGTGTCCCGAGCACACAACTGTTTAAATAAAAATTTAACTGGTATTTCAGAATTCATCCCCATTCTTAGGGAAAAGAACTACACAAGGCTGAGCAGTCACACTTAGGACTTGACTTTTACATGTTAGCTACAAACTAGCATCCTCAAACTCCATGCTGCCCCACACATTAGTGGCCACTCACATCAGGGATGAATTAGAAGGGAAAAAAATATGCCACTAAGGGAATTGCCAGCATTTGTTCACACTGTTGTGGTATTTTTCTTCCATTCATGTATTTGACCGGCTTGACCCACTTAGCTTTGAACAGCTGGCAACAGCTTTGGCTAAAGGTATAAATCCATGAGAGAGGCTGAATCGATGACTCAAAACATTCCCCCATTTGTTGAGACCCCAAGGGGCTCAGCTGAGCTGCAGGAGGTGAACTTTTGGGTGTGTAATGGCTAAACCTCTGATCTGATAAGACACAGGGTGAATGATGGGCACAAAGATAGGAGCTGGATCCTGTGGAGATGGATTGTTCCCACTGTCATGCTAATTTGTGCTCTCTAGCACAAACCACTGGGTTGTGGGGGTCCCCCTCCTCCCCCCGGGGAAAGTACCAGGGAATTCAGGACTTTTGCCTGTGACCTCAGCATCTTTATCTCTGCAGATGGGACATAACTGACTCAACTGCTGCTAGGATGGGCAGCTGTGCTGTCTTAGAAGGTGTCAAGGATTCCCAAAGCACCCCATAATTTACATTATTATGTTAAGCTCTCCGCCTAGTGGGAGGTACCTGGGCATTCCCCCCTGAACCAGAGTGAATATAGGCCCACTAGATGCTATGTTCTGGGGATTTCTCTCCACCACCAGACAGATGTGGTCAGTGATCATCACTTTGACCAAGACTGTGCAGCAACCAGGTCTTGTCTCTTGTGGGTGGTGAGATCCTCACACTCCTGTCCCTGCTCTCTCTCACGCTCTCTCTTCCTTTCTCCTTGTCATGTGGTTGCAGTTTCATATTGCAATGTTTTAATCTTGTATTACAATATCATAACCACCAAAATGGCTCCATAGCTGTTTTTCTTTGCTACCAAACTGGTCTGTAACAAACTCTACATTGTTTATTTAAAAGCAGTGACATTTAGTGTTGTTTCATTCTAATCTGCTCCAAGGGAGCTATTAACAAGAACCTGGGTTATACTCTTGGTACCTTCTGCGGTGGCTCATAACATTCCAGACTCCCACAATATCCAGGAAACACATTTAAAGCATCTCCTTTGTACATTTATACTTCCTTGGTCTTAACTGATTTGATAATGCCAACAAGCAGAAAGCCCTCATATAAGGCAAAAGATTGTGAGCCTTACCATGTCTTTAAATGCCCCGAGAATGGCTGCTGTGATAATCCCCAGGAACAAGCCGATGATGTTGAGGACTGTGGAGGACCACAACAGTCTGTACAGGTGGAGCACATCCTGACAGCTGCTCACACCAAGGAATTCATAGTAGCTGGAGGACTGGTCTGAACTGAAAGAGAATGCACACAATGTCACTGCAGTGGGAATGGTTTCACACACAACACAGAGCACTACAGGATCTGACTCCTTCCTGCTGGCTTTTCTCTTTGGCAAAGTACTACACCCATGCTCCCACCAAAAACTGCTCAGAAGAACTGGAGAAAGCCCTGCTGAAAAACTGGCTCTGCTAAGGCCAGTATCAAAGGTAATCCAACTAACACCAACCCTAGTTTGGCAGAGTGGTGATGGTTACCAGCATGGACCCTTTATTTTTTGTTCAGTGTCTCTAAAGAGAGGCATAATCTTGGTATATGGAGGCTGCCCTTTCCATTTAGCTACCAGATAAAGCTTGCTTAGCTTTGCTTTTTCTCCAGCTCACCTAGAAATCTGCTGGCATCTCAAAAATTGGGGAAGGCAAGCTGCTTAAGCATTTATTCAGCTACAGGAAGAGAGATATTGCCAGCTAGCTACATTTGTTTATGGTGTCTGTGGTTCCAAATTAATATAGCACAGTACAGTATAAAGATGTCTTTACACTCGGGTTTGTACTATCCAGAAATCTTTGTTCATATTTCTACACCACATTGGTTATTGTAAATCAGGCATGTGGTGAAGTTACACCTCACTGTCTTGCCAAAAGCCAGAAATATCCTACTGCAAAATTTGAAACCACAGGTTCCTGCAGTTCTTTCCAGTACCTGCCCTAATTTCAGCCCACTAATGAGCTCCTAGGGCAGCTATTTGAATTGGAAAGATTTTTTAAATGCCAAGCCTGTTTTTCCACTGTTAGGAAATTGCCAAATTGCCATCAGATTATGGTGGAAACCAGAAGTGGGCAGTTTGTGTTCACTCTTCTGTTCCCCCATCCCCAGTGCATGGGCCAGCATGTGCATGTGTGGTTAGGGAAAGCTCTGCAGAGCAGTCCACAACATTTCTGGGAAGAACCAAGCCAGGCACAGTAACTTCTGGAAATATCCAGTCAATGGCTTCAGTTCATGGTTCTGGCACTGAAGAACCACTACTGTTGAGATCACCTGGGCCCTGCCATGAGCCCATCTTAACTAATAAACCTACAGCTTCAGCTGCCACGAGGCTGAGGAAATTGGATTTACAATCCTACCTTCATAGTCTATTCTATGGCTGATAACAAATCACTGTGTGGGCCTGTGCCTCCTCCTACTTCTCTCTAGCCAGTCTGGGAACTGGAATTGCCAAGTCTCCAGAGCAGCATGACTGCTTATTTACCCTGAATTTGTCCATGCCAGTGCCATAAGATCTTGCTGTCCACTGTAGAATGTTGACAATAGCAGAACACACACATTTAATATATCGTTGGATAACATCACAGCAGTGAACACACACATTTAATATATCATTGGATAACATCACAGCAGTGAACAGTCCCAAGTGTTTCAAACAAACTCAATGTCTTAGAAAAATGGCACTGAGGATCTCCATCTGAAAGGGAAATATGCCTGATCTCTCCTTGTGGTTACTTTATACTTTAAGCAACTGTTTCAGTCACTTTTTTTGACAACTCCAGATACTTTCACCCTTCAACTGCCCTGTTCTTTTCTGTGTTGAGTTGGGCTGTTTGGTTCAGTGTTAATGTGCAGGCATTAGCTGTGTACTACAGAAGGAAGCATTCTCACATACTGCATTGCAAATACAATGTTCCATCATCTGTCTGTCACAAAAAAGGGTACCAAAGTTCAGCAGTCTCTACCTTTCCCAAGACTCTACATAGGATTTTAATCAATTTCATAGACCTTCATTCACTTTGTGTCTCCCATCTGCATAAATCACTTCCCTCTAGCCCCAAATGTTCTTTTACTTCTCTAGCTGGGATATCACCTGGCTAAAAGCTTTTTCATGCAGAAGCCTTGTGTAGAAGCTCGATTGTTCCCACCTTGTTTCCCTACACCTAAAATATTTGTGTCTGGCATCATACAAGCCAAGTCCTACAGAGGACTGGGGTTATTCAGGGCTGCTAGCATGTGAAGAGGAGGTAAAACCAAAATAAAATAGGTGTAGGAAGGAAGAAAGAAAGAAAAGTGACTGTGGCTGAACTGTAGAGTTGCAGAGATTGCACCACAGTGCATGGCAAAATGATATACAAGGGCAGGTAGAGATAAGACGAGGGAGAATGGTTTGAAACAAAACGAGGGAAGATTTAGATATTAGGAAGAAATTTCTCAGAGTGAGGGTGGTGAGACAGTGGAACAGATTGCACAGAGAAGTTGTGGATGTCCCATTAGTGGAAGTGTTCAAGGCCAGATTGGATGAGGCTCTGAGGAGCCTGCTCCAGTGGAAGGGATCCCAGCCCATGGCAGGGAAGTTGGAACCAGATGGTCTTGAAGGTCCCTTCCAACCCAAACCATTCTGTTATTTTATGACAGTGACATGTGCTAAGGGTGAGCCAAGCAGAAGATTCAGTAAATCTAATGGTAAAAATGCATTGCCAGACCAACAGTATATCTGAACAGGGATGTAACTGAGTGATCAGCTTTGATCACACGGCAAAAAAATTATGGGCATATTCAAAGAAAAAGAAACTGAAATAATATCAACACTAATGAACAACTCCTGACATACTTTGTGCTGGCATCAGGACTTCAGTTGCAGAGGAACTGGATTTCTCAGCACACAAGCTCCCTGTGTTACTTCTTCAGGCCCTACCAGTTACAAGTAAGGACAACCAACCAAGAATTTTTCAGAGGCCACAGAATGCACACAGGTACTTACTTCTCACAGTTGTACAGATCACAGCAATAGCATGTGTTACTCTTCACTTTCAGCTGGCACTTGCTGTTTAAGGTATGACATGTAACCTGCCAAAAAAGCAGAAACTTACTTTTATGCTCAATGTTTCAGGGTTGTGTGAATCATCCTACTGTACTGACCACAAAAAAAAACCAAACCAAACCAAACAAAAAAAAACCCCAAAAAAACCCAAAAAACCCCAAAAAAACCCAAAAAACCCCAAAAAAACCCAAAAAACCCCAAAAAAACCCAAAAAACCCCAAAAACCAAAAAAAACAAAACCCAAAAAAACCCCAAAAAACAACAACCAGCTACTATGGCATTGTCAAGTTGTATTACCAGTTGTGCAGAAAGATCCTGGGATTCCAAAATTCATGACTGGAAGCCAGAAGGCAATCCCTCAGCTCACAAGAGCAAGTCTGAGGCAATTTTCACTGTGGAGCCCAGGGCTCCCAGGACCAGCCTGCAGCCAGGGCTGCCAAAGTTTTCAAGCACTTTGTTGCATTGCCTGGTGCTATTCTGCTGAGACTCAGAGTGTGCAGCCAGAAGACTCAGATCTCTACAGCTGTGACAAGCTGACTGTGGGTCTGGAGAGATACACTACAGCAAACACTGGAGTGGATAAGAGAACCACTCTGTTATAGTGGGGGAATGGCAAGGGTGCCAATTTATCTGAACAGCTTCCAATAAATGGGAGCTCTCCCCTTTCAGTGAAACCCTCCTGAAGAAGGAAGTAATTATGGACAACAGCAAGAATAATCTTCAAGCCCACAAACAGAATAATTCAGAAAAGATCCAAGCACTCCAGCAAATAAGTCCCATTTATTGCAGGCTCTCAAAGTCAAAACTGGAAAGGTTTATTTATGTGAGGAGGAATTGCAGGGATGGACAGGTGTTAGAACAATAAAGGCAGGCACACATAAGCCACTCTCCATCCAGACACAAAATCATTTTAGTGACTCCTTAAGTATGGTAAGCATTAATCACTTCTATTTGGCACTACAGACCAATTTAAATACTTTATATATAAGGTTTTGGGTTTTTGTTTTTGGGGTTTTTTTTCCCTGAGAGTTTTAGCTTATTGACTTTGAAATCCTGGAGAGCTGTCAGGTTTTAAAAGCTAGCAGTCAGAAAATACATTCTTTCTGCAGCTTTTATTTGATAGGAAAAAAATCTCTGTGACCACTGAGAACTATTTTATTCACAAAATGCAATTAAAATATATTATTGAATGGAAAACTCCTCACAATGAAAAAGTAGAAGGAGCATGCATAGGAATACATGCCTGCTTTTGACAAGTTTATCAGACAGCTCTGGCTTAGCCACGAATGTGTTACTCTATGGAATAGTGTCCACAAGAGATGTTAAACTAGATGTTTCTCATTTCTTAAGTCCTGGATCTGTGTATCCTTTTAGTATGAAAACTGCCACAGTTGATAAGCCTGTACTCCTCACATGCTTGTTCCCAGAAAAAAAGGAAAGCCTTAAGCACACACACTCAGCAACAGAGCAAGTTCATCTCACAACTGGTCCCCAACTTGCCACATTTGTCCTTAGCAGGACTTGATCAAGCAGTGGAAGATGGGTGACAAAACTAATGTCAGAAGAAGATTTAAATGATTCCTTGGGATTGCTTTGCTGCTCAGGACAAGGCTGTACCTGTGGTTAGTGTCTCATACAAATCAGCTCTTCTATCCCAAAATGGTAGGTTATAACAGGACAGTCTCAGTCTAGGCTGCCATCTGGACATGCAGCTCACAGTTTGATACAGACACATCCCACTTGTCACAAGGACATCTCACCCTGAGACAGGACCTTGTTTCACCAGCATTGCTCTGCAGAAGAGGAGCACTTACTGACACTGATAGCTTAGTCAAGGCAGTGACTGAACCATCCCACATGGCTACTTCTCAAAGCAGGTTGAAAACCAATCCTGTAGCACAGCCTGGAGCAAATCCCTCAGCCATTTTGTGGGATGCCCTATACTTTTGCATTCAGTGGATCTTCAGACTTTGGTTTTGACCTCCTGTATGCAGTGAAAATGGCCCAGGACCCACAGAGTTAAAACACCCTTTTCCCATTACACATGCATGATTGGGATAGGAGGGCTTTATAAGATGGAATGGGCTGCAAAGAAGTGGTTTGTTCTGATGCACGGTTTGGGGACCACTTCTGATAGGAAATAAAAGTAGTTTTCTCTCTCCAAGCAATAATAAAGCCAGTCTGCCTGTTTTAATGGAGAAGGCTAGAAGTACAAAACAGGGAGATCAGCATGACCTTAAACATGTTTTTGGCTGCTTCTACACTATCAGACACATATTATTGGCCAAGGAAATTACTGTAGTTATCTATTTTTATCACTGCATTTTTAAAACATGCATAGCACAAGACACTCCTTTTTAGGAGAGCAGTGAATAAACCAAAATAAACAAATTAGTGTGTGGTGTGAGCAAGGGTGGTGGAAACAGGCCGTTTGTGGGTGTTCTGCATGTCAAGACCTATTATTTCATTTCAGTGACCAGACACACAGCTTTTTCATGTCCTGGACATTTGTTTGTGATTTATTCTCTCCTCAACACCAACTGAAGATATGTTCTCTTGTAATGGTAATTGCCAGTAAATCAAATTCTTTCTGCTTTGAGCAAAGAGAACTGAAACAGGCAGACCAAATGAGCTAGAGATGATTTACAGGTGAGAGATGTCAATCAAAAGGAAACTTGCAGTCAGTAAACAATCTGCTTTCCAAGCAATGTTTGCTTGGCATGCAGAGCATGCCCCCTGCTCACTACCTGGCAACTTCTGGAAAAGCAAAAGCTAAGTATAAATGCTATGAATTCTTAACTCTGAATTAGTATGCACTGACTCTAAATCAGTGAACAACCAGACAAGAATGTTATTAGAAACTACCTACGCTTCTAAAAGATACAGGGTTTGGTTTTTTTCCAGAATAGAGGAAGGAGCTCTGGGTGGCCCAAGTTTAGACATTCCCAGAACCAGCAGAGCTGTGGAAAACCATCTGGCCAGAAGCCTGAAGCTGGGGTCACCTGCAAGGAATTGTGGTCAGTGGGGCACCAACCACATTCTCATTACAGGAATCAGAAGCATTTCTCAGGCCACATCTGAGTCTGAGTGTGCATGCACACTTTAGAAGAGGAAGGAGTAAATCTTACAGGAAAGGATGCTGTCACACTTAAGAACTTTGTCTGGGCCGGTCTTTTACATGAGATCAGTGAAATATTTTTGCCATGCATTTTCTGGAATCAACAGCAGAATGCCCTAGCAGCAAGACTTAAGGAGCTGCTTAACCTGGTAGCATACTTTGCTAAGCTTTCTAGAAATATTAGTGGTACCATTCCCCATACAACTTTTGCTAGCCATGGCAGGAATGGTGATGAAAAACTAAAAGTTATACCACTGTTTAGCTGTTCTCCATTTCACTTTTCTATTCACTCCCACCAGTTTACCACAATAATAAAATAGGAAAAGAAACTAAATCTGGACTTCTCAGGAAGCAGGCCATTTGGATATGGGCACTTTCCTGACCATGTTAATGTCATTGAGATAATAAAAATGCTGCATTCAAATATAAATGTTTTTGACCTACGCTGGATAAATACAGAGATTTGAAGTCTTCTGGATGATACAAATGGATTAATTTAGATATTTCCTATTCCACTTGGAGTCTACAAAAGCCTTCTTAGAAGAAGATGCCAATTTGACAAACACATTCCAGACAGTTATTTTACAGCATGGATGGACTAGGAATCGTTCCAACCCCAGAGTAAAGTACTGGATACAAACACTGATGATTGCTCAAAACTGCACTGACTGGTGATTTTAAATCATCAGAAGCTTGGACAAGCAGGGAGTCACTTGTGGGAGAAAAACAATGACATTTCTATCTACCCATGATCTACATGCATGAACATGCTCTCAAACATCTCCCTTGCTCCTCTCCAGCACAGCAGAAATGAACACATGATGAGGTGAATTTGTTTACCTCAGTCTGGTAGGCATCATATAGGAATCCTATTCCACTTGAATAAAACTGGCATCTTTTGTTATACAGAGGTCTGGGTTCCTGTAAAGAGAAAAACAGCCAAAAAAGTGGTTGGTTTGGAGGAAGTGGAAGGCATTATGTCCCATGTCCCCATGCAGATGCTTACAGCTCTGTGGAGCTGAAGCAATTGCAGTCACTTGGGTAAAAGGCCCACACCCCCTGTGTTGACTTTCTTTTTGGAATGGCTCTCCTCAGGGTTACATTTTCCATCCTCACTCCACCACTAAGCTATGTGAGTATCATCTATTTTTCTCTAAAAGACATCACCTCTGGCATTTAACCGCTTGACGTCATTTAACCACACTCAACGTCAAATAGTACTGCTCGGACAATGGTCCAGTCATTCTTTTTTCTGTAACAGTTTCTTACCTAAGATCCAAGATTAATTTTGCAGGTTGTTTTCAAGATATGGGACTTTCTTTTTGAAGAATTTCAACAATGTCCATGAAAACAAAGTAAAATAGACAATAATTTGAGTAATCCACTTATAACACACACCTCAAACCCCAGAAGTAAAAAAAAGAATAATGAAGAAATTGAGGCATAAAGGGAAAGCATTGTTTGGTTTTGCCTTATTTTCCATTTACGCTATTGTAAAAGATGCATTCACTGTTCATATTTCATATTTTGCTTGTAACAGTTCCCACAAACTGATATAAAGGAAGAACAAAATGAAATATCCTCAGCCAGATGGAAAATGTGTGCTTCTGACCTTGGCAAACAGCCACTTTGAAGCCTGGAGGGTGCATACCTCAGCCAGTTTCAGGACTAGACCATATTTGTTTTGGGAGGATTTGATAACTTGAGTCCTCCGTGATCCAATATCTATCCCAAAGCAGGGTCGGAATTACTTATGTTTGAAAAAAAACCCAAACTTTTTCAACTATCCATCACTTATCTAGTCCTGGTCTGTGTCTTCAAAGATGTGAAGAGCTGGGAGTGTGTCAGTCTGTTGGAAGGTAGGAGGGCTCTGCAGAGAGACCAGGAATGTTTGGATGGATGGGCAGAGTCCAATAAGATGAAGTTTAACAAGTCCCAGTGCCGAGTCCTGCATTTTGGCCACAATAACCCCCTGCAGCGTTACAGGCTGGGGACGGTGTGGCTGGACAGTGCCCAGGCAGAAAGGGACCTGGGGGTGCTGGTGACAGCAGCTGAACATGAGCCAGCAGTGTGCCCTGGGGGCCAAGAAGGCCAATGGCATCCTGGCCTGTGTCAGGAACAGTGTGGCCAGCAGGAGCAGGGAGGTCACCCTTCCCTTGTACTGGGCACTGCTGAGGCCACACTTTGAGTGCTGTGTCCAGTTTGGGAAGGACCTTGCTTGAGCACATCCAGAGGAGGGCAGTGAGGCTGGAGAGGGGCTGGGAACACAAACCCTGTGAGGAACGACTGAGGGAGCTGGGGGTGTTTATCCTGGAGAAAAGGAGACTCAGGGGTGACCTTATCTACAGCTTCCTGAAAGGTGGCTGTGCTCAGGTGGGGGTTGGTCTCTTTCTCCAGACAGCAGCTGACAGAACAAGACAACACAACCTTAAGCTGCACCAAGGGAAATATAGGTTGGATATTAGGAAAAAGTGTTTTATTGAAAAAGTGATAAAGTACTGGAATGGTCTGTCCAAGAAGGTGGTGGAGTCACCATCCTTGGATGTGTTTAAAAAAAGATTGGATGTGGCACTCAGTGCCATGGTTTAGCTGGGCTGTTAGGGCATGGGTTGGACTGATGATCTTGAAGGTCTCTTCCAACCTAGTGATTCTGTGATTCTGTGGAAGCACTCAGGTGCTCATTGATCCTCGGTAAGTCAGTCAGACCAGATCCAAGACAGAAGATGCAAACCCACTATCTGCCATCCCCTCTTTCCATGCCAACATACAAGCAAAGGACTATTTCAGTTGTTAGCAGAAATCTTCACTGATTAACTTACACTGCATTTTAAAGCTTTAAAATCCATCCAGGAATAACCCAGATTTTGCATAAAGATCTGCACTACTTCAGCTCACAAGCAGAGTATTCTTTGCTTGTTGGATAATGAAGTGTGAACTGTATAAATCTGCTGATCCAAAATACATAATTAGTTAAAATGCAGAGCTAGGCAGGAATGCAGAGAGATCAATGAAAAAAGCTCCTCCATCAGCTTGTTTGTCTTTCTGATTACTCCAGCGAACTTAAGCAAGTTTGGACACCAACTCTCTAGGGTTAAAGAAAGGTTAGCTTCCTGCATCCAAAAATATTTATTTATACTACACAAGTGTAAGGAAAAAAGCTTCAGTAACTCTTCTTCTCTAGAGGAAAAGCAAATACCACACGAACAGCATGCCATGTCTTGAACTAGGTCAACATTCTTCCACAGTCCTGGGAAAGCATTAGCCTTTAGCCACGACTTCCAGGGACAAATCTGGTTGGGAGGTCTAAGAGAATTGCAGTTCCTCTGCCAGAACAAGGAGCTGACAAGGAGAGGAGCTCTGCTGGACTTCATAGTTACAAACAAGGAAAGATTGCTCAGGGATGTGAAGGTCAAGGGCAGCCTTTTCCCTAATGTTATGAAATCTGGAGAGGATGAAGCACAATTCCCACTCTGGACTTGAAGAAAGGAGACTTTGGCTTATTCAGTGATATGTTTGGAAGAATCCTATGGGATACTGTCCTGGAAAGCAATGAGGCCCAGGAAAGTGGGTTGATACTCAAGGTTCATCTCCTGCAAAATGAGAATTAGAAGTCCTCACCTGTTCACTGAAAGCAAAAAATGTTAACATTTGAACTGTGCTCAATAGGTCACTATCTAACAGGAAATCAAGCAAAGGCAGCATGAGGCTTGTGTGGACAAACAAGGAGTTCCAGATGTATCTCAGACATGAAAAGGAAGTCTACAAGAAGTGCAATAAAGAGGAAATCACCAGGGAGGAAAATAGAAAAATTATATGAGAATGCACGGATGGGGTATAAGAAAGCCAAAGCTCTCTTGGAATTCTGTCCAGCAAGGGTTGCAAAGGACAGGAAGAAGGGCTTCTATTGGGTGTATTAGCAGCAAAAGGGAAATCAGGAAAATGTGCACACATTACTGAATAAGGCAGACAACATAGTACAAAGACATGGTAAAGATCAAAGTATTCAGTGCCTTCTTTGCCTTGGTCCACAGTGGAGTCCTGTGGAAAAAAAATGGCATAAGAAAGAATTACCCTTGCTAAAGGGGGATCAGTTTAGAGAACCTTTAAGGAGACTGGAGATACATCCTGTCTTCAAGGATGACAAGAAAGACAATCAAGGGAACTACACCCTGATGGGAAGGGATGGAACAAATAATCTTGGAAACTATTTCCAAACATCTCAAGGACATGAAGGCAATTTGGAGTAGTCAGCATGGATTTACAAAGGGAGAGTCACATCTGACCCACCTGTTGACCTTCTACAAGAATGTGACTAGCTTGGTGGATGACTAGAGCTTCTTGCTCACCTGCTTCTGGATCTTTATCTTCACTAATCCCTCTGGCAGTCTCTCATTCTCACAAACAAGCTGATGAAATAAGGGCTAATTAACTGGAGAGTGAGGTGGACTGAAAGCTGGCAGAACTGCTGAGGTCACTGTGCTGGGAGCAGTGACATGAAGTCCAGCTGGAGGTGACTTGATAGTTGTCTACCCCTGGGGTCAGTGCTAGGACAATATTGTGTAGGATCTCAATTACTGAACTGGGTGATGGGTAGAGCGCAGCCTCTGCTAGCTGGCAGATGATACAAAACTGGGATGAGTGGCTGAAACACCACAGGACAGTGTCATTATTCAGAGAGACCTGGGTTGGAGAAATGACCCACAGGAACCTCAACAAGTACAGTACAGGAAAATGTCAAATCCTGCACGTGGAGAGGAATAATCGCATGCACCAGAAAAGAATGGGGCCTGACTGTCTGGAAAGCAGCCTTACAGAGGGTCCTGGTGGGTAGCAAGTTAAACATGAGCTGGCAATGTGTCCTTGTGGCAAGAAAAGCCAGCAGTATTCATGACTGCATTACAAAGAGCACCACCAGCAGGCTCAGGAAGGTGATCCCTCCTCTTAACACTGGTGAGACACATCTGGAATACTGGGTAAAGTGCTGGGCTCCCCAGTATGATAGAGACCACAGACATGGTCTGTGAATTAACAGACTGGAGTATCTGTCACAAGAGAAGCAGAGTTGGGACTGTTCAGCCTAGAGAAGAGAAGATTCCCATTTACCTTATCAATATAGATCAATACTTGATGGGGAAATGAAGAAGATGGAGCCACATTTCTCTCAGTAATGTCCAGAAAAATGACAAGATGCAGTGGGCACAAACTGAAATATGGGAAATTCCATTTAAACATAGGAAGAAACCTTTTTTTATTCTGTGGTTGATTAAACACTGGAACGAGTTTCCCAGAGTGGTTGTGGAGTCTCCATCCTTGGAGATACTCAAACTGGACACAGTTCTGAGCCATCTGTGCTAGCTGACACTGCTCTAAGCACAGGTGGTTGGATTAGAAATCTCCAGAGGTTCTGCCCAGTCTCAGCAACTCTGATTCTGTGAAGAGAGTCAGAGTCTATGTCAGGCTATGAGCAGACTAATAAGTTCTCTCAAAGTATCATAGGTTATGAGTTTAGCACCTGGAGACATGCTCCCTGGCCTTACCTTTGGGTCATTCACATCTTACTACAGGTTGCTGCTGAGTGACACCACCACATCACACTATGAGGCTGAGTCTGACTCTGAATGCTAAGATACTCCCCTCAGAAACCTCTGTATATTCTTAAAGGCAGTGAGAGAGCTGTCTAGTCTCCCTCCATCAAGTACAGAAAGATCCTCACTTTTGACCCTGATCTCTTGGCTTACACAGTTTTTCTACCTCTTACACTTTCTTCCTCTTAAAAAATAAATTGGTCCTTTTATTGGTTTGGTTTTCAATGGAGAAGACAAGCACACTTTTCACCCAAGTGTGCTTGTGACTGAAGGCAACACTGTTCTCTGAGGAAACAGGTGATTGATTAATCCATACCAGCTATTATGGCTTGACAT